TTTGGATGACACCAAGTGCGATATACACAAGGCTCCAGAACTAATTAACGAGGATGAAGAGCTTTTGAGCACTTCTCCCTCCCATGAGGACCATCTGTTGAGTGAGCATGGCACTTCAAGAAAAGTCTGTACGTGTAATTAAATGCTCAACAGTAGTAAAAGGTGTCTGGGTTAAGTTTGGTATACTAAAGCCTGGTGTTTTTCAATTTTTAGCACTGTCAACATACTTTTTTTTTTTTTTTTTTTTTTTTTTTTTTTTAAAGAGTTGTGTTACAGCATCAACTGGCTGTGTTACGCAAGGAGGCACTCAAAAACACGCAACAGGCAAGCCCTACACTGAAGACTCCGACGTCACAACAAACGCGTTAAAACGTGTGACGGGATTTAGGTACCTAACACCAGCCTCCAGTTCCCTTCCCGATGGCCATGGCACCTGGGACACCTCATTGTCCTGAGAATCCCAACGCTCTGCAGCAGCAAAAAGCCAGCCAGGATGTTAAAGGGCATCCAGGTTTTAGGCATCCAGAGGAATCCCTCTACAAGTAGCACTAACTATTCTGAGGCATCCATAGAGAGAATGCTAAGAGCAAACCTAGAATTCATCCCCTTGCCCTTTTGCTCTGGTTGCGGTGCAATATAGGGAAAGTTAACTTCTGTTGGGTTTTGTGTAACTTCTGGGTTTGTAATTTGGTACCAGTAGGGAGTTACTCACCAGCTGTGAAGCACTCAGTGCCTCAAGAAGAAGAGCAGATGTCCCACTGCCTCACCGGCTCATCCTTTGCAGGCCACGGCCATCCCAGGTCTCTGAGTCCACCAGCAGAACCACTGCCCCTTTGCACACCATGCCTGGCTCCTGGGGAGATGCTCACGAGTCTGCTGGTCACCTACCATGCTTTACAAAGGGGCTTTTAAGGCTGATTGCCATCAAGGACTTCTCATCTCAATACTGCAAACCGGAATTCATCAGCAGCTGATTTCCAGGCTTACCCATCTGAGCACCATAGATTGAACCAAGGATGCTGTTTGCCACTCTAAACTGTGTTGTCCTTGCTCTGAATTAAAGTCCTGAATTACCATTTTACAAAATAACTTAATCTTAAGCATGTGAAGAGCTGCATTGGAGCGCATTGCTGGTCAATGTTGTTGACGGCAGGCATGGCTTTATACACTTCATATATTGAACAGCTGTGTGATGTGAAATACATCGCTTCATTTGAAAAAAAAAATATAATAATTGTGGTTTTGCTAGTGGAAAACTGAGATTCTTTCCACTGGCACATTTTGAAAAACACTGGAAAAATATGTTTTTATTTGAATGGCAGACAATAGATGAATTCATGCTTAACTTGCATTATTCCATTTTAGAAAAATTAGTTTAAAAAAAAAAAAAACTATCATAGCAGCACAGTAATGATAATTGCAGCTTAATTACCCATAACTGATTCTTTATGGCCTGAAATAATTTATTCTCCTTTTATACTCGTCTCTGATATCCATTAGAATCATTACAACTGTGAGTCTGTAATTACATACTTTGCATTTTAATGTTCTGTGCCGGTTCGTGCTCTCCTCTTATCTTTCAGTTAATTTTATTACCAAAGCATTGAGAAAATTTCCACGTGGATTTTCCAGAAGTTCTTGTGGTTTGATTTAGGTAGGTTTGGGTCTTAATGAAGTCCAGGGAGTCAGCTTGTAGGTCAGAGCTTCTGGGCTCACACTGCCCCAGCTCTGTCAGCCACTTACTCTGTGGAGTCTGCATTTTAAGCATTAAAATAGAGGAACTGTATGAGATTGGACCTTTAAAAAATAATAAAATAAAATAAAATAAAATAAAATAAAATAAAATAAAATAAAATAAAATAAAATAAATAAAATAAATAAATAAATAATAAAATAAATAAAATAATAATAAAATAAAATAAAATAAAATAAAATAAATAAAATAAAATAAAATCACAGAAGGCATTTTACAAGCTACAGTTAAAGAAACACGAGCTAATGCAGAATTCAAGGGGACCTTCAGCAGAGGAACCTGTTGGTCCTGTCTGGACCAGGAGCTCCAGAAGGGCTGAAGGTGCACCTTCCCTGCATCCTGCCATTGTGCCATCCAAAGGGGCTAAGTGGGTTCAATGGCTGAGGTGAAAGATTTCATACCAAAACCTCCGTTTTCTTCCTCTATCCCCAGCTCACTAAAAGATCCCAAGCACGTAATTTGCTCTCGTCTCTCTTTCAACTTCGCCTGTTCATAAAACCAGAGTCTTGCTAACTATACCGACGGGGCTCTGCTGAAAATTGCCTGAAACCTCTCTGTGACAAAAGCCTAGGCAAACAGTATTTTATAATCCCCTCACTCCAATGGCTTTTTCACAGCCAAAAAAAGCACTTTTTTTTTTTTTTTTTTTTTTTTTTTCCCATGGCTAACACAGTATAGACAAAATTACTTCGGAAATGCAAATATTAAAATAAAATCGGGGTGTGACGCTGCCTTTAAATGGACAAATTGCGTCTAATGACAAACACGGGGTTGTGCAATAACAGCTTCACACGGAGGGCAAGTAGCATTTGAGCTGTGTGCAGCAGTTGGTACAAAGCAATCTCACTTTCCCATGCTGCGGGTTTGCCCCGCAGAACCAGCAGAGCCTGAGAATAAAATGTTAAACTCAATTTCCTGCTATAATTTAACAACTGGGGAAAAAAAAAAAAAAAAAAAAGTGTAACTTCCTCAACTGGACTGAGCACATTTTTATTGAGTCAGGGATGTATTTTCTTAGACAACAAAACACCCTCCTCTCTCCTTCTCTCCCCAGTTTAGTATTGCCTAGAACAAGAGCGGGATAAACCAGAGAGATAAAAGAGGAGGAGGGAGGCTGTCGGTATTTCGGTATTTCTAGAGCAGTTTTTACCCTTTATGGGAGCAGACGCTGCATGGAGCCAGACGATCACGAAGTGCAAATGAAGCGACTGCAGGTGCCTGATGGTCTTTGCTTCCCCCATCCTGTAATTTCCACGGCAGTTCACACTGACACGGGAACCTGCCTTGCCGTACCTGTCTGAGCAGCACAATACCACACTGATTTTATTTTTTAAAGGAGAAAAATCTCAATATGACATTTTTTTCCAGCCTTTCCTGCTTTAACGGGTTAGAAACAGGCCAACAGCTGGGTGCTGGCAGTCAGCAGCGAATTTGCCCCCCTTGGAGCAGAGCTGCAATTTGCACAGCCGCTCCGCACACACCCGCGGCTCTTTGAGCTTCCATCCCTCGATGCCCCACGGCGTCCCAGCAGGCCAGGGATGCCCACCACGTGCAGCTGAGATCCTGGCTACCAGGCATGTGTCTCAAATGCCCTTCTCACAGCATCCCAGCATCGCTTCTCTGCTGGGCTGCGCGTGGTTTAGGGGAGAGGGAAAGCCGTGCTGCACAGCACCACGAGGCAGTGCCGGTACTTCTCCAGCGATGCGGGGAGGTGCCTGGGGGACACAAACAGCTCTGGGCTGAGCTGCTACAGACTCAGGGTAACAGGGAACTGGGCTACAGTGGAAATGTATTCGCCCTGCTATCAGCAAATTTGTTGCCTTTGACCATTTTCATGCGGCACAGTCCCGCGTTGAATGCAGTGTGCTCTCCCACAGGCTCTCCTCTTCCATTTGCAGTTGTTTCTCCTCCAACATTCACTTTATTTTTTTAATTTTACAGTACTCCCAGACAATGGCACAGACACAAGCTGACGAACAAGCTCTCTGCACAATAGGCAGCCCACAACACTCAGCTTTCCCCATTCATTACGGTCCCACACAATCCTATTTCTCTATCATGTCTTTCAGCAAAGCAACAAAAAAAAGAGGCTGCTTCTCCTCTCTCTTCTAATTTGCAGCGTTTAAAACTTTAATCTCATGTTTAAGTGTTCTTTACTTTTCATTACTCATATTTCCACTTGTATGTTTAAAAGCTTTGTAAAATAAAAATAAATAAATAAATAAATAAAAGGGCTCCTTTTGATGTCCGATTACTTCTTTCTCTGGTCTGACAACTGCAGCTGTTAATTACTATTGCATCTGTCAGTTTTAAATATGCACTTTTTTTTTTTTGCCTGCTATTCTTTTCTGCCCTCTGTTCCTCCCTCCTGCCCTCACAAGGAGCTCACTGAGGGCCTCCGCACTACTACTGCCTGCAGCAGCAGCTGGACAAGCATTTTCCCGGCCCCGTTAGCTTTCCAAGTTCAGACACCCTCGGTATCTGGTACTTGCAGGGGCAGAAAGCTGCGGGGCTCAAGGATTTCAGATACCCTTGTCTGTAGGAAGCACGCAAAACCCCGACACATGTTTCAGCCCTTGCCTTCTGAAGATGAAAGTGAGAAGGCAGGAGGCCGGGAACACACGCTTCCTCCTCCTCCTGCAGAGACCAGCCCGTTCGGAAGGAAACGTCTACTGCTTATCTCCACTGAAGAAAACAGGCACAGCCCATGGTGGAAACACACGTGCAAGAGCCGAGGAGAACCCCGCCAGTGCAAACAGCGGCCTTGTATCAAACCTGCTCAGTGCTCATGGCCTAGGACTTGGAAAGCCTTGATTTTTGTTGGAGCAGTGCTTTTATACCATGCAAGAGTCCGGCTCAGGGTGCTCCCTTAGCAGACAGTAATCCCAGCCACCAAAAATCAGGTCTGGGCGGAGGTGGGAGGGCACACTCACAACACTCCCAGGCTCTCCTCGAGGCAACTTCTTCCTTCTGAACCACTGGCCACTTCCTAACGTTCCTGATCTTCTCTTTTTCCTTTTTAAAGGAAAACCATAGTTCTCAAAAGAGCAACTGCACCAGGAGACAGGACTTGGAGTACAAAAAAAACAACAAAAAAAGCCCTAAAAATTAGCCCATGTTTACTGTCAAAGTCTATAAAATTATGAGATTTGACAATAAAGCTTGTGTTCTTATGATACATGCTACTAGGCATCATGCAGCTTGACTTCTGCAGCCAGGAGGTACTCAAAATACTTTCCACATACAATAGGTGTCAATTTGACTTTATTTAAGGAAAAACGGGGAAAAAACAGTAATTTCCATAATACACAGAAGACAAGTTAGATAGCACTGCAAAAAAAAGGCTGAGTGTTTTACTTGTCACCAGTCTGCTTTGCAGCTCTACGATTAGTAATTTTAATGCAGTTTGTCATTTTGTATTATTGTTTAGCATCTTTATAATCAGCAGAGTTTGGGGTTATAAATCACAAAAAGTGTACTACTACTATGAAAAACTAAAAAACCCACAAAAATCACTTTCAAATAAACCATAAATATGTGATGCACATTAGTGTAACAAAACCATTTTTGTAAACATTTTCTCCAACATAACATGTGCATAAGATAAAAAATAAAAACACTGCAGTCATACAAGTTAGGGTTACTTTGACTTAAAGATACAGAAAATTATTACTTATTAAAGCTTAAAACTAAATCTAGGAGCTTTTTCTTTTCTTCTTTGCTTACAAAAGCACTGTTTGAAGAGTTCGATGTCTGTATATGTAGTGGTTTTGTAATACTGTTTTTACCTTGCCATGTTGCTGTCCTGGCACTTCTGCGGAGGCGAAGGCTGCGGCGCGAGCAGCCAGCCCGGAGGAGTTTCCCCCCCAGGAGCCTCCAAACTTCAACAGCACGTATCCGTGACCTGGGAATCCCTACAGTACTGGAGCATCTTCCTCTGGGAGAATAGCATCGGCTTTCAAGGACTAACTTGATTTTGGACCGCATAGCGCTGGAAGAATTAAATCACGCAGACTGGCATTTGATCAAACCAGCTTCGGGAAGCTACACTACGGGGCCGCTGTGTGATTACACCCACGTCGCTTCTCCAAGTCCCCCTTTAGTTCATTATAGTACAAAAAAAGAGTTGATCGTTCTTCTGGCTGAGCGTGCCAGGCATGAAAAGAACACATCCTTCACCTTCAACGCTATCCAAAAGTCATACGGTTAAAAAAAATATTTCTAGGTCCTCCTCTGCCAGCAAATGTAAGGCTTTCTTGAGTTTTGATTCTTTTGGTGTGTGGGGTGTGTGAGCGTGTCTGTGTGTGTGTGTGTACATGCACTTGTGGTATGCATTGACCACTCACTCTCAAAACTGTCTGTGATGTTCACAGGAGAGTCTTCAGCAGAAGCGCTGCTTGGGTTTGCAGGGTTTACAGCAGTCGGATTGGATCCCACAAGAAGGGTCGGTCGAGTCTCAGCTCTGCACAGCTCGTGCTCTCGGCTGCCCACCGACCAGTCACTCGAACGGTCGAGTCTGACTGAAGAAGACGTGTTTAAAAAGCCCTACCTGTCACGCCGTGAGGGAAAGTTAAACGCAGCAGAAGACAAAGCCCGTGAAACACTGAGAGCCTGTTCACTGAATGAACAGCTTAAGGCAGCTGTCAACAAAGTACCCCACCGAAGGAATAATAATAATAATAATTAAAAAAAAAAAAAGTAAAAACCAAACAAAAAGATGGCTGAATCATGACACTGTGCATTATTACATCACCAACAGATTATTATACACTCAAGGTTTCTCAAGTAATGAACATGTAGCCATTAAACAAATTATTACTCTCAAGACATTTATTACAAATGTCAGAACTTATTCATAAAATAAAACTGACTTAAAAACAAAACAAACAAACAAAAAAAAAAAAAGAAAGAAAAAAGCCAGAGCTGGGATCTTACATCTAAACACAGGTATACGCTGTTTTTTTATGAATAAGCAGTATTAACTACATTCTTAAAAGAGTTTTAGTGCATTGCATTCTTAAAAAAGAAAAACATCACCGCCCCAAAACGTTTCCTACAACATTTAACAGTTTATAGAACTAGCCTAGTTATTTTACCTGCCTGTTACTAAGCCCACGTGTTAGAAGAGTGAAACCTCCGGTTTTAGGCTAAATTCGGACTTCTAGTAAGGATGAAATTGGTTCCAAAAAATGCTTGCTTTCCAAATTTAGTAAGCAAATTACATTAATCAGTGTCTCACTGCCATAACGCTACCACTATTGCCCCAATGGACCACTCTCTCCTCCTGCTGAAACTTGCTACACGATAACAGTCAGAAACCTTTCGATCTGGTAGTTTTGGTATTAAGATTAAATTAGACATTAATGGTTTTCATCTAAAAACGTATAAACTAAACCACCTCTTTTATTTTATGCATTAAAAACAATGAGGTAGGCACAAAAAATAAACATATGTAGTTTGGATTTTATTTCTTTTTTTTTTTTTTTTTTTTTTTTTTAGTTCTGCGAGTGCAGACTGTGGTAAAACTGTTGTTGCACTTCTAGGTTTAAACAAAAATTAAACCTTTAACTGAGGCAGTGCTAATACTGTGACATAACCAAGTTCTGGCCTAACACAGAATCATTATAGAAAATGAATGTTTTTTTTTTCTTTATTTTTCGTTGTTGATTTTTTCTTTTTTTTTTCCTTTTTCCTTTTTTTTTTATCATCTGCACATGTTTCAGGCAATACCTGGTACACAGAAAATGACTAAAAGTTATTGGCGAGGCCAAAATAAAACTGCAGAAACAAAACAAAAAAATAATCAAGAATTCCACCCCAACCCCTTCCCACCCTCCCTGTCCCCAAGAAGAAGTTATCCTAGTCACTGTGTCTTTCACATTTTATAAATATTAACTTCTTAAAACCTGCACCTTCCTCTTTGTCCACATATTGTCACATTACAAAAAAGAAATGTCAATTAAATACATTGTTAACATTACTAGATAGACTAGATCTGCCCTCTGTTTCAGCCAGTCTGACTCTCTACACCACTTCTCACCTTCTCTTGCCTGCCTCCTGTCCACTCAACAGCATGTTCATGATAAGTCTGTGTTTATTTTTCCTTTTTTTTTTCCCCCTCTGTTTCCACACTAACAAACAGAGTCCTTCAAAGCCTAGGAATCCTGGAGCTGAAGGGAAAAAAAGACCTGTAGCTTTCTAGCATGATCCCAAACCTCAAAGACTTTGTAGCACCTGATGGCAATATCTTTACAGCACCAGCTGCCTTGCAGCCTCAGTTGAAAAACAAAAAGAAACCTAACACCAGTGATGCCTGCACACACATTTACACAGAGTGCTGCTGCATTAGTGCAGGTCTGTACTCCAGTTGAAAATAATTCCGAGTTATGAAGATCTCAGACTCTGGATGTCAGCAATCCCTCACCACAGCTCACTGCTTCTACCAGCTCAGAAGAGAAGTCCTGCCAAGGGTCATGAAATAGACTTGACTGCTTCCACCTGACCGCACGGAGGCAAAGAAGACCTGCAAAGGAAAGAGAGAGGGAAATTCAACAGGTAGAGCAGCAGAGGCTTCAATTTGTCTTCACCGCCCGTGATATTTACGGTGCAATTACAGCTCTGTACAGTTTATCATCTTGTCACGTAACAGGGACCGGGGGTGGCTCATACCTTGTCGTTGCGTTCACATAAGAACTTGAGTCTCTGTGCCCTTTTGTGCATGAACACACCGTCCAAGTGTCCAGTTTCCACTGATCGTATTTCGATCGCTTTTTCTCCCCAGCCCATAATCTGATTGGATCGAATATACGCTGTGGGGAGAAAGCACAACACAACATAGCCCATTAGGACAGGTAGAGGGAAGCACAGAGGGACTGAAAAAGCAGAGGAACATAGTTATATACTGTACTTAGAAATGACCTGTGTGCACACTCAGAGTGCTATTTTGGTCTTCAACATCTTCACAATGCCCCCAGATCCTTTTTTTATTTAAATTATTTCCACGTGGGCTTTCCATGTCAGTACCATAGTTCGTGCCTGAGCATTTATGACATGATGGAAGCTTTCCAACCTTCAATTAAATGGAAGGAACACTGAGTTTTACACAGGCTTTTTTCTCCCAAGTTTGGCAAGGAGACAGGTTAATTAGGTGTTGACAAGGAGAAAACAGAACCCAAGGTTTAAACAGACTAAGCCTATCCAATCTGGAACATCCCCAGCATCAGTTCAGTGTCTTAGGGTATTGTTTCTCTGACTTGTAGGAGTTTAGATAAATAAAGCAAAAATCAAGCATTTTGCCTCACAGTATCACTGGGGGAAACAGATTAGTATTAGAATGAGAAAAAAAATCTGTTCTTGATAGCAGTAAAAATTGAATAAAGGAGAAAGGCACCAGCACTATGAAAAGGTATATTCAACAAGCAATTTGATGGATAGTCTTATGAATTCTGCCAAAACTAACATATGGGAACTTAGTGAAGAATAAGCTGTTGACTCTGATTTGTATGCATACTTAATGGAAAAATGAAAAGAATAACAATAGATCTTAGCAAGGAAATTTTTATAAGATTTAATTTCACAATACTTCTCTATGTTTTGTTTTTTTTATATATATATATTAATTTTCATTTAAATGAAACCAAATTATCTACTATACAGCACATCTATACCATCATGCCTACCATTGTGCTGGATATTTATTTACTTTTACATATGTCACGAGTGCTAAGTGGGCCAAATAGTTTATTAAAATTGTCAGATGAGATGTTCAGATGATGCCAACTGCCTCAGTGCTATTTACTTCATGGGCACTCCAGTTCCCAAAGCCTCTATGGTTTTTCACTTAATATAATCTGCTTGCTTCCAGATCTAGTCAAGAGCTAATCACCAGCAGAGTGAACATGCACTGCATGAAACTTCTTTAAATTTCCTCCTCTGTTATTGTTCACGTTACTCTAAGAGCTATCAGCAGTAACCTCCTAATACGTGCATCCATTCCCAAACAAGCAAACCCAAAGTGTTTGCACAAAAAAATAAGGTGTAATCACAGCCCGTCCTATGCTCATCACTGCAATAAAGCAGCACAGATAGCAAGAGCACCTATATCAGCACCGTGATTACAGTATCATGCTAAGATAGATGAACAAACTGCAGGTAAATTAAAATAAACCCATCACATCAGATATGCAGACCGTTATCAATGTAGAAGTACCCTTAATAATATCCTACCTGTCTGCCTCTTTATATACCTTTATACTAAAGGGTTTTCATAAATTTGCTGATGTGCAGAAAAAAAAAAATTGTAGTGAATTTACAACGGCCCTCGTGTTTATTAAATGAGTTTTTTTATTTCTGCACTCCACAAGTTTGTTTGGATTTTGTTCTAAAAAACTCAACACAAAACAGATCCATATGAACCCTCTGCACTTAGTGCAGCTGTTTTCCAGCAGTATTACAGCAGCGCTGCCTCTGAATCTGAAGTCAAACCCAATGCATTTTCCTTCTGCCCACATTCACGCTCCCTTATGCCACAATTGTATTTGATTCTCTCAGGGCACTTACCAACTGAAGTTGGCATCTCTCCCCACTGCAGAACCACGTCCTTGGTGATCCTTCCATATGTGTTTACATAAACTCCTTCATCCTCATAGCAGACCAGTAGCTCCATTCCATCCGTATTCGGGAGAATTATGATTGCATGAGGTTGGATACTGCTCTGGATCTACAGAAACAGAGAAGTAAGGCCAAAGTCATTTTATGATTGCCTTGCTGGCCAACACCAGCCCTGAGTGAGCAGCTCCCAGCCAAGGAGACATATGGACCTTAGGGACAGGACAGAGAGTGAGGTACAAGACCCTAAGATACATTCACTTGGACCCCTCCATCTGCTTTTCCACTGCCAGTGGCTGGCAGTGATTCACAGGGTCCGACAGACATTTTGGTCATCTGAGGAAAGGAAGAGAGGGAGAAACCAGAAGGAAAGAAAAAAGTCCAGTCCAGAAACAGCTCTTACATGTGTTGGTAGATAAATGTCATAGACTGATCCCGAATCCACATCAACGGCATGGAAGCCAGCACAGGAGCCATAGATCACTTTTAGTCTCTGACCTTCTTCTACTGTTAGATCCACCAGCAATGGCTTATGTACCAATTCCCCAAATGACTGTAAGACAATAATCAGTGAGATTTATTTTACTGCTTAGAACCACAAGGGTATTTATAAAAATATGCTCTTAACACACATATTATAGGTCTATTCCTCCAGCGTGCCTCTGGCCTCCATTCACCAGATCAATTGGGTTAGCATCTTCCACACAGAAGGAGAGATTTACTTAGCACCCTGTTATATTTCAACCACATATTTTTACATGCTGTTTTCCCTGGGGTTTGATTTAGTTGGTCTGCTTCATTTTACTAGTAAGAATTGCTTTCCCCAAAGTTCAGGGCAATTTGACACTCCTGTAGCATTTACTTCAACCTGCACCACCGGCATTAACTCATTGTCTGCAAATCAGCCTGGTAATTACTCCAAGTCAGCTAACTTCATTCTTGCAGCATTCAAAATACAGTAATGTTGAGCATCAGCTAATGATGTTCACACGAAGAAGTTTTGACTCAGTTCACTTCTCTCGGCCTCATGGTTTATTTATAGAGAGGAAACAAAGCATTGGGATATCGTGTCATTTTGATCGTTCATTTATGCTTGGTTACAACTTAAGAGTTATAGGTATACTGCCTCTCATAGCCAGCCTCCCACACCCTTTAACAAAAATATACTATGATGTTCATGGCAGATTTACCAAATAGCTTGTAACACAGCCATGATAAAATGTCAGGCCAGTTTTGTAAAAGGGGTAACTGCAACTTGGTAGGTGAAAATCCTATGTGTGACTGAAATAAATTGTTACCTTAAAGGCCATAAATTTGTGGTATGGCTTTGGTGCCCATGCATAGACTTCCACAGAACTCTTCAATGCAATTACCAAGAATTTGATTCTTTCATATTTTACTGAAATTTAAACAAAACAAAAGTCAGTTCAGTAATCATACCAAAGTCATTCCAGTTACTTTAAGAAAGCAGAAAATGACAATATTTCTCCCTACTTACATACCTTTCAAGGTTTTCAGTAACACTGCATTTTAGAATTGCTAATTCTATGTAGCTGAGAATTTTGACACGTTTATGCCACAAAAATCATTGCTCTTGTCAGTAACTGAACCCATCACCATGCTTTCAACTACCTAGTCAGTACACACATATTGACACTTTTCTTTCCACATTAGACAGTGCTTGCTCATCCAGAAATCAGTCTTCAGTCAGGGGCAATTACAGTAAAGGAAGCCAATGGCTGTGGCAGAGTTTATTGGCAGTCACAATCACAGCGCTGTGGCAGCGGTATTTTGAGCCGAGGGAAAAATTCCCCAGAGAAAGGGAGGGAAAAGGAGGAACTGAAATGAAAAGCTAAGAAGTAATGAAATAAGTCCAGTTCAAAAACAAAAGGCAACTGTTGTTTTGTTGTCGGCTGCTTTTTTAATTTGTTTATTGCCAAAAGGCTCTGTTACCAAAAACTTCCCAGGAAAAGACTAAGTGGCTGCCAAAAACCTCTTCCTCAGCAGATGGCTTAAAGGAAACAGGTAGCTGACAAAGTAAACAAGTTGTATCACCTGAACTTTCTCTAACTGACCTTAACCCTAATTCTCAAGTAAAACACATGTGCTCAAGTCACCTTCATGACAATTCCGGTGACACGTTTTACCTTCTGCCTAAAGAATGGAAAAGTTTTCAGAGGGGTTAAGGAGTCAGGAGTTTCTCTAGAACATTTCAGAAACATAAGCCCAAAAGCAGATTCGCCCACAGAAGATGCAACATTATTCAGTATTTAGCAACATTTTTTTTTTTTTTGGCAGAGACAAATGCAGCAATCATTGCTTTTCAGCCACAAAATGCTACTAAGCAGTGCTAGTGCAAAGACATGAAAAAAAAATCAGAGAATTTATCAGAAATAATAATGTGTCATTACATAGCTGATCTGTAAATTCTCAAATGTATCTCTGTTCCCACACTCAAACAGTTGGCAAATTTAACCACCGAAAAAGGCTCTGTTTACTATCACTTTTTTTTCAGGACAGGACCCATGAAATCTAGAAATGGGCATTCAAGTAACGCTGCTGGATCTGTATTTCCAGCTGCCATCTGGGTTTGTGCTGGAAGATACGGTGAGGACTTGCAAAATGTTGAGGTTTGTTAACCTGTTTCTTTTTTGGAGGAGAGGGGAAAAAAAAAGGCATTATTTGGGTGACACCTAGAAAGCTCAAGAGATTTCTTCTCTCTTTACCTCAAGTTTTGGGGGAATGGTGATTTTCCAAAACACTGAGTAATTCCCTGCACCTCCACCTTCTGCCGTTATTACCTCCCTACCAAAACTGATTTTAAAAAAGGGCAGGAGTGAAAAATCTCAGACTTGTGAGAACAACGCTTCTTTAATAAAAACTATTTTCACGTCTTTTAGGTATCTGACTATTGTACAAGCCTGTAGCTGTTCTCTGTTGGTAGGCAGCAGGGAGACAAAGCTGCTACTTGCTCCCTTTTACTCTGCAGGAAAGCAAGAATACTGAGCTGTAAGTGCTAGAGGACTTGACACTTTTTCAGCAGGCAAAAAAAAAAGCCTCTCAACCTCCACAGCTGTACCGGCTGAAAAATAGAGCTTTTGTTCAGTCTTGTCTGGCTCGCAAGACTTCTTGGAATATTTTCTTGGGGAAGAAGGGGGTGTTGAATAAAACCACCTTATCTGTGAAAGGGAACCTTTGATAATCTTCACTCTTTGCTCTGGGTGCTATCTGGGAATTCACCCAAATTTGAAGTTTCAAAAGAGCAATTTATCATTTAGAGGAGCCAAAAGTTGCCCGAAGCGACCAAGCTCCAGAAATACCACTTCAGCCTGACGTCTGAGAGCCCTGTAGCATCAAAGAGACGGGGAAGCGGCCAGTGCCAGCTGCCTCGGTGGCAGCCACCAGACTGCAGGCGCGACTATTCGCAGGGCTCATCCTTCTTGGGAACTGAGGCACAGCTGTCCAAGAGGCCTCTCACCACCTGAAGAAGTCTACTGTACGTTTCTGGTTCAGAGGGAAGTTCAGTGCCAGGCTGCAACAAATCACTCTTCATCTGGAAGAGAATGCTCTTTGTGTCGCACACTTCCCTGCTGGAAAGCCTCCTTTCAGTAGCTGTTAATGTATTGCTAACAGGCCGCTTCATTACGCTGCTGGCACCCTGGGGTGTGATCCCGGAGAAGCACATTATTAATTGTTTTTGGGGTCAAGCCCGAGGTTCAGCAGTCCCTTCTGCGGTAGCTATTGATGACTCCCCGTGAGCAGGTTTTTGCAAGAGCACGTGTACGACAGAAGGAGACCGAGCTCAGTCCGACTGCTGCTGCTCTGCATTGACTGACACAGCTTGAAAGGAACTGAGCTGGCACTTAGGAGAAAGCCAAATCAAACGCAGCATCCAGGGGCCATTAAGATTCATCGTGAAACGGAAGCAGCAGAAAGAGCTCTTAGTTCATATCCCCACCTGCAGGGCAGCAGGATCACTGCATACGGCAAAAACACGACGTGCCTTTATTGGGTTTGGTGGAAGTTTCCACGTCTAAACCCCTTTAAACAACTTAAGGCCGCTCAGAAGGTGCCTGCCTAGTGAAAACACACTTCATCCCTGTAACCCCAGAACTGCATTGCAGAGGATCTGAGACAGCATTTGGAAAGTTCATGAGCTAAGGGGAATCAATGAATCATCTGGAAGTTAAACATATGCTTCTGTTCCCAGATGCCTCCCCAAAGCTCGTGCACTAGCTGGGCTTGATTTTTCCTCCCACTCTTTTTCTTTTTTTTCCTCTTTTTTTTTTTTCCTTCCCTCCAGTCTTAAAAATCTACATGAAAAAGGAGATATTATTCACCCTGTTCCAGAATTTGATTTCAGCATGGTAAAATAAGAGGGAAACCTGATGACAGAGAACAGCTGTTGGTTGACACAAGTTCCCCTGTCACCTCAAGGGTCTAACAAAGGTGGAGAAACATCACCAGCCCTCAATGTCCATGTCAGCCTTCTCCTGGAAGATGCATCCACCATGGGAAGGAGACTGATGGGGGATCTGTGCTTGCTCCAGTTCACAGCCCAGCATCCCGTTGCAAAACCTCCCCCATATTCAGTTTAACCCACAGTAACCTGCCATCTATTCTGACACATCACCAGAAAGTTTGTCCTTAGGGATAAGGAAGACAGCCAGCAACAAAAACAAATCTTCAACCCACAAGCTGCATGCACTGCAGTTCTCCTTCACAGCCAGCTTTTATCTCGACAATTTGATTACCTCGTTTGCCACTTACCAACTTTATAGTGCACACAGCCTTCCAAGTCGCCCACCGTCGTCCAACCCTGTTTCTTCTCAACTTCGGGATCATTGTGAAGGATTTTATTTCTTAACCAGGACAAATAGTACACTCGCAACTTGTTCTTCTTACCTAGCCACAGAGAGAGAAAGGTTAGTTTATCTCCCCAGCGAGATAAGTGCAAAAAGAAAACAACAATACAACCCTACCCCAACAAACAGAAAGCCCCATAGAACAAGCCAAAGTAACAATGAAAGGGAAACTGCTGCAACCACGGAGATCTCTCCCAGTATTTATGCCCACAACAGCTTTGCTCCAGACTCCACCCAAAAATGTGTTTTCCTGATAATCAATGACAGAGATGCATGGCAATACCACACGAACTGAAAATGATAAACTCTTTGGCTGTCTGGATCTTAGGACAAAACCAGCTTCTACGTGAAAAAGGTTATAATCCCACAACAAACGCACCAGAGATTCCTGCACGGGGATGAAGAAAAAACCCCAAAACATAGCTGAGTAACAAGGGCTTTTTTTTTGCACAAAACTCTAGGATAGAAGCAGGGTAGAATTCAAGGCTCAGAATTAGCTACAGAGCCAGAAGAGAGTAGGACTGGTGTGAAAGGAGGCAGAAAAAGCAAAGAAGAATAGGGTGATGGGGTTATACATTACAACCTTTTTGCAGCTAGTGACCAGGACATTTCCATCACTTACATCACCCTCTCCGATACAAACCAGTCAAGTTTTACTAAGCCTGTTTACTATTTAATTGGAGGAAAAGTTTGCCAAAGAACAATTTCAGCATCTAACTGCTTTATACCAGTTCTGCTGTAAACAGGAACGAACAGCATCTGAAATTGCAGTGGCAGAATTTCCCATGGCTCACAAAAAAATTCAGCTGCTTGCTAAAAGCCAACAGCTGCCTTACAAACAGACTTGCCCCTCTGCTCCAAGGGCTGCAGTACTTATCTGGCTGCACACAGAAAACTGCAAGGGCTGTTTCTTCTTCACAGGTGAGAATCTACCTTCAGTTGACATTACATCTCCTACTGTCATTACAATACAGCCCAGAGTCTAACTTCCCAGCTGTTCCTAGCTGGATCCACCCTGGGATCCCTGCCCCTGATGGCAGAGGACCCCTGACAGAGCCAGGTACCTTGGGAAAAGCAGCTGTGAGGGCTGGGGCATCACAAGTCCCTATCTACCAGGAGACAAATTCTCTCCCAGATATTTCCATCGTTTTAGCTTCCCCAGTAACGTAGTAAAACTTAAGACTCAGACCAAACACTGCACATGGGAACTTCCCAGCACGTGGCTATTTTCTTCCGGTTCACATGATGAGCACCAGGGCACTTCTCTCCAACGAGAAACATTAAAAAAAAAAAACAAAAACAAGACAGAAAAATATCTCAAGTGTGTTCCTATTGTGTTTAAGTGTCTAGACCACAAGGAAAGTCACAAGACAGGAAACACCTCTGCCTTCCAGCAGGCTGACATGAAAAGAGCACAACCAGTTAGTTACATAAACATTGTTATGCATCTATTGCAACAAGTTCTGCTGCTCTTCATACTCATATTGGGGAGGGGGGTTACATCTTTCTGCTTGTAAATCTGCACCAGCTTAAGCAGCTCTCAAAAATCTAATCTTTTTTTTTTTCTTTTCTTGTCTGTTATGGCCATGAAATAGGAAAGAAACCTCTGTTCCAGCCTTTAAGTTGATCAGGCAGTGACTTCTGTGAGAACGCCCAGCTCTGCTTCTCCCACAGACAGCGTTTCAACTGCAAAGTCTCTTTTCCCATACGGAGTTCTTGTTTGTATTGTCGTGTGGTTTTTAATTACCAAGAGGGCAGATTCCAACCCGTTCTTCTACTCCGTCTACCTCTCCTACCTTGCCGAGTGCCGCGATCAGCCGGTTGTGCTTAAAAACCCTCAGGGAGCCACAGATGGAGCATGTTCTGTGCACACGTCGTTAATCTCTCTTCCAGCATCTTCATAACTCTCAGCACTGTATACTGCTACCCTGAGCACCCAAAACTATGGTTTTGCCTCCCAACAGTATGAACTAGAGAACTGCTTAGCTACTCTGCTCAAATTTTCTTGTACCAGCTGCAGTGGCTCAGTATCAAAAGCTTTATGGTCAAGATTTCGAATTTCAGACATACATATAGTGGGAAAATTTGAGTTCAGCTTTTCAAACACTGCAGAGTGTGTATTCAAAGCAAATTTTAGGTGACAATCCCCTCAGCATCCTAACGTACTGCAACTTCTTCTCGCAGTGTGGTAACATCTTTCAAGTATCACCACCACCAGCACATCACTTCCCCAAAAAGCCAAGGGAACAAGGGAACACACAGCTGCGAGAGCCGTGGTTGGGCAGAAATGCCTCTTTCCTGCCTTGTTCTTCTGTGCTCTGCCAGAAAATGCAGGACAGCGGGACAGAGACAGAGGCGTAAAATAGATCCAAAGACCGGCTGATTTCTTAAGGGTTAATGTGGCGTGTCATGACAGGGGAAGTAATAGCTTTGAAGGAAACAAAGAAGACGGATGTGTCAGGGTACTTGGATTGTGACTGAAGCAAACATAAATAAACCTAGAACAATCACACATGAGATTTATTCACAGACACTCGTCTGTATAGGATATGCTTCAAACCAGCAGATCTTACACAAGTTGGGTTATACAGTATTTTTGTTTATAAGGCAGACTCTAGAGTAAGCTCTATCAAAAGATGCTTTCCAGTAGCTTATATTTTTATCAGTGTCACACATCAAAAGGACACACAACAGGTTGTTGGTTTTTTTTAAATGTTCCTCGATTCATCTTTTCTTTTTACACATTTCATGGCATAACTGCAGCTGAGAACTGAGCATGCAACAAGCCAAGACAGGTGCAGCTGCTCTAAACAGAAACAAAGCTCCATGATGATACCAGCACACGGCTCTTTGCACCTGTATCAGCATAATGCTGCCAATGCATTCACTTGTCTAGGTGCGTGTTCCTTCGTAAGAGAGTCGGAAGAACCAGAAAGCTCCTCCAGCAGAGTCAGATGGCTTCTGGAGCCTCAACAAAATTTTGAATGGCTCTAATGAACAACACAGGGGCCACTGCGAAACCTCATTTAACATTCCCTCTCTCACATGCGCAACAGAGCAAAGGCTGACTTCCCAAACAAACCAAGCCAAAAGGAAATGTAAATGGCTCAACGCCACCTGTGAAGAAAGCTTAACAGTGCACCACATCAAGTTGCTTAACAGCAGAATAACCTTGTGCAATAACTCTCTGGAGCCAACGAGTCTGGAACCTCAAGCTTTATAAAACACATTTTCCATCAGCGCACACAAAACAAACACAACAATCACCACCGCCCTTCTTCTCCCATTGCTGAGTTGTCTGCTGTTGCATTCAGTGAGAGGCAAGGCCAGAAGCTACCCCAAGCTGCCTCCTCACCTCGTTAATTCTCATGTCACACACACACTGCAGTCCCCCTGCCATCCACACACACTCTCTCCATGTTATTCCTATTTCTCTACATTGCAAGAACATTTCCCATTCTACATATTCAGACACAGAAGATGTCTTTAAACCCCAGTAGCAAATCACGTCTTGGTTAGAAAGCTGCCAGGCTGAAATAACTGCAGCAGAGGGAAAGAATGTCATTTGTACAAACTGCACAAAACATTCACACAGAGCTCCCAAACACTGAACACAATGAGAAGTTTTCTCCAAACCTGTACAACATTTTAGAAGGAGGAAGGACAGGGACAAGCATGCACAGGGTGTTGTGGGGAAAATGATTCACTCGCAGAAACTGTAGACTCAAGAGAGGTGAAATGATGGAAAACCCACTGACTTCAGTCAAGTCAGGACTTCCCCCTCAACACACAGGCTGCCAAGAAAAGCTTTTTGCTGTGCCATACCAGATGGAAGAAAAATCATGTTGAATAGTTAACTTTACCAGAAATTGTCACCAAGACATTCAGCCCTTCAAGTACATCCATTTGCTGGAATCTTCTTCGATTGATGAGCGGATAAACCTTCCCCTGACCACTTCTGTCTAGCAGCATCAGACCACTTTCAGTGCCCACTAACAAGTTCACTCCTAGATGAAACACAAACAGAGATCCAAGTTAGTAGGCAGATTTTCCACGTACTCTGACGAAACGATGCTTTACACGGCAACCGTCTTGTTTCAAGCAAGCCTAACCACTCCTAGAAGGCTCTCTACGTTACCTGCACCCAGTGACTGCTGACACCAAAACTGCAGTGCACAAGAGAGTAAGAGACTGGTAGACCATGAAGCACTTTCTGGAGCAACAATTTCCAAACAAAAAGGTACAGTAATGCTGGAGATGGGGGATGAGGCATGACATGGTTCCCAAGATATATTCTGAAGGATGTGTTAGCTGTTGATTAGGGGTTCTGCAACTGGAGGCTTTAGACAAGGGCATTGCAATAAAGCACTGGGAAGGGTTTGGTCCCCATTGGGAGGGCTGGATTGTGGTGGTGCAGCCCTCCTGTAAAAAGACAGGCACAGGGCTGGTCCTCAACTTCCCAACAGCTTTTTCCGTCTGAATCTTATAACTAGAGGAATTGTATTACTCCTGTGTTTCCATGGATCTCTCCTAAAGGTCAAGCAAATACAAACTAAAAAAAGTAAGTAGATCAGTTTCAATATACGAAAAAGTCCATACATCCACTGGAAACCTGTCTATGAGTACAGAGAGCCTTAGTATTTAAAATCCATTGCATTCTTTTAGCATATATATGAAATACATTAAAAGGTTTAAAAAATCTGTTAATAGATTATCACTCTTAAATTTCATAACCATAATTATTACAGTGTTTCAGTCCCAGACCCCACAAACTGTGCAGAGACAGGTAAAATACAGTACAGGGAAACAAGCAGTTTGATTTCCATTAGATTTCTATGTCCCAATCCCAATGTAAAACTTGTTATCCTTCAGCGTGATAAACTAATGAAACAACAAAGAGAAATTCATGTGAGATAATCACAATTACTTTGCTTAGTGCCTTAATCCCATGGCAGACAATGAATCCCTAGATATAGCTAGATTGGTGCTGAAGGTCAGGTACTGACTGATTATGTATTGAACTCTTTCTAATGCAGGATGTGTCCCAGGACGCAGGAGGCTGCATCTCAGTACCTAGAGCAGTGACAAGCCTTCTGATGGCATTCAGAAACAGCACTGCTCACCAAGGCTGCCCGCCTCCAAGGCACGAGGCACGCTACCTAAACACCATCCTCGCTACCATGCATGGGGGAGGTTTGCAAAAGGGAGGGCACGCTCACTTCAAACTGGGAAGAGGAGGGAGGGAGAGCGAGGCACAGGGTACAGCAGCACCAAACTGACCAAGGAAGCACCCAGTCTCTTTCCTGCAGCTCCAGGACAGCGCGATTAAAGCTGCAAGTGATTCAGCTTTGATACATGTTTTTGCTTTTTTTTTTTAGTGTGGTTTACAGTTCAAACAAAGGCACATGCACACTGCTCCCTCACGGTCTCTTCCTCTCTTCATGCATCAGGGCTCAAGTGCTTCTGCCTCCAACCTCACCTCCTCCTCTGCTGCCTGGCACTCATTCCTGCTCCGAGCTGGTCTCCGCGCCCCATCCCTAACCCCTTCCCTCAGCTATGTGCATTTCAGGATGAAACTAATGAGGTACCAGTGCTGGTGGCAAGCTGTGCCTGGATTTTCAAATGCAGACATTGTCTTTATTCACAGCCAGCCAAGCTCTTCTACCTCCACCCTACAATTAAGCCGTTCTAATTTTTCAAACAAATGGGAATGCTTCCTGAAAAAAACATAGGCTCTCTGTAGAGGCTGAGTGTAAAAAAATTATGATACGGCATCCATGTCGTTAACATCAACCTTCTCCGCTCAATACTAGAAAAAATAGCATCACAGGCCTCACACAACCAGCAACCTACCAGATACTAGGGCATTACCACTGGTAAAGCCAAAGGAAAACAAAGGACAAAGCCCCCTCTTTGCTGCTAAGAATCATTATAAAATGCCCTCATTTGCTTAAGGGAAAAGGAAGCTAGACCTTATCAAGAAATAAGCACGTGCACCAAGCAGATACCACCATCAGCTTAGCCCTAAATGTTCAACAAGGAAGCGCTTTGTTATAGCTATAAAACACCTCTAGGATTTTACACCTACATTTTAAATCATCGAAACAGTCAGATACATAGATCAAAGAAATAGAAAGCCATTAACACAAATTGCTATTGGCAAAACAAGGCAGATCAGAGGAACTGTGAGTCATCTTTACCGATCCCATACAACTTCTCTCTGCCTTCACCCTCTCAGACTCTGAAAATTTACACCTGCACAGGTCTCCTCATTTTACCAGGGAATTATTCATATGAATACATGCAGAAATAGCACGGGGTAAAAATTCTTACCAGTAAACTTTAGAAAAAAATAAAAATGCAGATTGGAAGATGATAAGGTGTCAGAAGAGCTATCTAACTGACATGGCTTTGCAGGCAAGAAGGCTAGGTCAGCAATGCTGTTCCAAGAAAGAAATGCAGGGAATAAGCTCAAAAGATAACTAAAGCCTTGCAAAAAGCTCTGAAAATGTGAACAAGAGAAGTGCCCTGTCCTACCTGTACACACACCATGTGGCTCAGGGGACTGGACAAATCTCTTCTTCATAGTCTTTGAAGTTAAATGCCTATACAATGTGTCTACTTTAGGAACACTATATAAGCATCTACATAATATACACAAGCACCACCTCTTAACATCTAGATAATGAAAAAATTAAAGTGGCCCCATGGCTCCTGGACAGAGAAATTGCACAGCAGGGAAAAGCTTTCAGCCTGGTGTTGCAGGGATCCTGACCGATTGTCTGACACTGGTATAAGTTAGCCCTTGTGACAAGTAGGCCAGACATATAGGGTCAGCTGACATCCCATACCCAGCTTCTCTGTGCACTAACCACCCTTAAAGAAAGGAAAGCAACTCTCACACTGGAAAGTGTTCCTCCTACCCTTCTGTTTTCTTTCTTCCTTCCTACATAAACTGATGACTGAGTTGGAAAGTCATCTTACGAAATGCTTCTTCATCAAGTACTGTGATAACACGTTAGCATCAAGAAGATATTATTTTTCAAACAGAATACCCTATGTGCATTAGATGCACAACACAAATACCACCACAAGCATCCAAAAGCTGCAGTAAATGTACTAGTGGGGGTTAGAGAGAGCTGAAAAGGTCATGCCAGCAAGCTGAATGAAGTCTGAACTCTTTCATTTGAAGAATATATACTGTAGTGAGAACTTATATTGAAGCAGAAGCAACATATTGTAAAAACATAATAAAAATAATCAGCTTTTGCAATGAAGTGAACAAACACTGAATAAATTCAGAGAAACAGCTGTCTTCAGAGAGATTTTCTCGAAGACTGTAGGTCCTACTGGCAAGTCTGCATCTCAACACTGCAGGAGGCAAGTGAGTAACAGGTTTTTCTTACCCCATAAGGCAGCGCACAGTATCTCAGAATTGAATCTCTTCTTGTATTTGCGAATCTCTGGGGTATCGCTCTGTGGTCGCGTATTTGTAGGATTCACATTGACAACTGATCCTTTCCGCGTTGGGTCTTGCCTTATTGCCTCTGATCTCATTGCTTCACTAGAAAATCCTACTGAAGAAAGAAAAGTAACGTGCATGTAATATCCCTCACGTGAGAAGCTTTGGCCATATATTCCTTACACCAAACAACCCAAATCAGTAACTGAGAATATTGAGCAAGCCTTTTTTTTTTTTTTTGTAAGAAATGTAAATGGAAAAAGAAAAACTATGCAATCCATTGCAAATCAAATAAAAAGCATGATGGTAACATTCGTAGTACTTTAAAGAGCCACTGAAGTCACTGAACCTTTTTTCAATTGTCGTCTTCAGCTACTTTACTTACCCACAGAAGTCACAGTTGTCCCACTAGATGGAGAAATCTGTAGTAATCTGGGGTCTATAAAAGGTGTAAAGGAGGAGGAAGATTTGTGTTTCTGGAGTGTGTTACTAGCGGACTGAGTCTGCAATGTAAATTTCAACTTTATTAATATTAATGACAATAAAAAGCAAGGATAACAACAACCAACATTTTGAAGTCACTACAGAATTATGCTGCATAGCCTCCCCAAGCTTGATTTACAGATACATAATGCTCTGCAGGCACCACACCTGAACATATGCACTCTGCACATGTTACAGTGAATTGCGATTAGCTACACCTCCATCCCTGTCACCTCAGCTGCCAGCGAAGATTTTTGAGTGGCCACTACGATCAGGCACAAAGCGAGGGAAAGTCTCCTTTTTTTTTCAAAATCTGCTTAAATGTATGCCTACTACCTCATCTGCAAGCTGTCCACTACATTCAACTCTTGTACTGATGAAGCATGTTCTAAAATGAGCTAGTTATGGAGTAAGTTAGGAAATTTGATCTCTTGGCTTGTGCAACAAAATCAGAACCATCTGCGATCAAGCATTCACTTCTGTAATGGTTTATGTTTTCACTGTCCACTACTGGTCATTCTCCCTATTTTGTTTAACCTGAGCCTCTTGCCAGAAAGCTGCAGCAGGTTCTTCCACCTTTTTTTTGACAAAGCAAAATATTAAACCTGTATCGAACAAAGGGGCTCATTAGTGTGGAAGGTGTAGCAAACGGTGATATGAAGCTATGAATATGTAGTGGATAAAATCACTGGTGCTTGCCGAGTTATGTGGTCTAAACATGAAAAAAACATAAAGAAAGGAAGAAGACGAGTGAAACAATGAACTGTTAAAAGTGGAAATGGAACGACTTAAAAACCCTTGCCAGTTTAGTATTATAGTGACAACATCGCACGCTGAAGCAGAATGGGACAAGTAAAAAAAAAAAATGTATTATATATACACAGGGTGTGCACATGGGTGAGTTATACCAAGCAGTACTGGGTTTTTGCTCAGCTTTATGCAAATGTAGTTAGGGACTTCATCGTCGTTAACTGATCTTCAACCTCTGATCTTTCTAAGGCTCTACTCTGCACAAAAAAATAGCGATGGGTCCTTGTGAGCACATCACTCCCCTGCACAGCTAAATACCAAGAGGCTCCTTCACCACCAGCCGCTGCCGCTGCCTCCACTTACCAGGCTGAGTTAACTGAACCCTGCTTATTTATTGCTTAGATCAAAGTAAGGAGCAAGCCTATCTGTGGATCAATCAACTGATCTCTCTAACCCACAGAAGCGTGCTTTTACAAAGATCAAAGGCGAACGAAGCATAGCTGAAAATGAAATATTACGCTAACTGAATTTCCAGGAGGAAACCCTCCCGCCCACCCTCCTGTCCGAGGCATTTTTCATCCCGTGGTAAAAACGAGCATTGCCAAGAGCCCACCCAGCTCACCGCCATCTATTCTTCTCAACCCAGCGCTTGCATACGTACACGCCAGGACAAATCTAGCCCGAGAAGCAGCCGCTTCTTTCCACAAAGCTTCCCTCCCCCTGTACCACTCGTTTTGGGTACAGACAGGTCCCTGAACGCCAGGCTGGCCACCCGCTGGGAGTGGAGCAAGCATGCTGGGTTCCCAGCTCACTGCTAGAGGTAGCAAGGCAGGGATGATGCCCTTCATTCACACATGTGCATCTCCTCTGATGCAAGGGGCTACACGTGTGTGAAGGACAGAGTTTGCCCAGCTCAGTGACAAAGGGCAGGCACCGTTCCTGGCAGTGCCCTGGGACTGGTCCAGGACAGCAGGAGGGAGCTTCCCCAGTGGCAAAGCCTTGCTTCTCCAACAGACGCGAGCAGAACTGGTGGAGAGCAGTGATATTTACACAGCTGTGTTTCAGAACACAAACATTTCTCCCCACTCGTTATTCCAGAACAGTAATACCCAAGGATTTTAAAACCCTCCCGGGCAACACCTGATATGTTCCCCCAAGCCCACGTGGCAAGTTTTTAAAGAGCAAAATCCCTCCGTGGCAGCTTCCTCTCCCAAAGGGTGAGTTTCCACAAGCAGCTCCTTATACGTGCACAGTTACTAGCCCAGCCTCTACTGACAAAGCCAAAATTAACCACTAATTTTTAAGAGGCACACTGCTTGCAATTAGCCTGCTCCCAGAATAAAACAGAATTAACAAAATAACGAGCACTGGCTAGAAAATACAGCAGTCAAGTTTAGTTTAAAACAAATGCCATGCAATTAATGACTCACTAAAGAGGAAGCAAAAATAGTAAACTGGCAAGTTTGGCGTGGGACTGCTCTAGAGTTAAGGGCTTTTTACACAGAACTGAAATGTGTTATTTTGGGGTGGGAACAAAGGTGACAGGAAAAAAAAAAGCAGGGGAGATTGGCTGGAGTTCCTTTGCAAACTAGCTACTAGGCAATGCTGCTATAACCCTACGAAAGCAGCCAGCTGTGGTGTAAGACATACCTCATTAGTAGTTAGCTTGTCCTGGGGTGTCTGTGGGGACATGGTGGGTGTCGGCTGGCTGGAGGATGGGGAGGAGGAGGTGGAGGAAGTGGAGGAGGAATGGCTTTGCTGTAAGAGATCTGGCAAGAGGTGAATGCGACCGGCAAAGCCATTGCTCTCATGATGGCTGGCACGCTTTTTGTCAACTGTACTCTGTAGAAAAAACAGGCACACTTGTCTTGCTCAAGTGCTGCTTAAAGGCCTATATCCCTAACAACCTCTCTCCTTCTCTCCCTCGCTCTCTTCCTACCTTTTTTACATGTAGTTTTTAAGTAAGCTGATCATCCATGCCTTGATGCCTGGATTGAAAGGGAAAGTGGGCAGAGCTACTAGAATTCTGCATATTTCCACCCTTTCTGGCAGGCAAAAGCTTAGTTCACGTGGTGGACTTGCACAGCCAGTTCCAGTAATGAACAGAAGAGTAACTGTGCCGGTAAGTCTTCCACCACAACGCAGACAAGCGCACTTTTGGAGATGGGGGAGGATTTCTGCCCTATTGTTTTGTTTAAAACTAACTTAAATCCTACAGTGATATGAGCATTGACTGTCTGGTGAATGCCTTCAGCTAACTATTTAAAACAATAAGCATGAAATCTTAATTTTCAAACCAGAGGGCTCAATTAAGAAATTGGCATTCAGTTGTGAAATTCAGAAAATGCGATTACCGAGGAAACTCCTATAAGCTAGCATGCTCATTACCATGAGCTCATTTAAAAGCAGGGCATCATTATCTTTCACAGGCAGAAGAATGCGGTATTTTCAGAATTAAAGGCAACAACACAGCACTCTAGCTCTGTCCACATTCTCTGCCTTGCCACCTGTTTTGCTTCTCCATTCCCCCACGCTAACCGTGACATGAATTTGTGTGTGTGTGTGTGTGTGTGTGTGTGAGACAGAGAGAATGATCTGGGTGGTCTGTACCTCTTCAACTACAGGTTTGGAAGAATTTTTTTAAAACCCTAAACTCTTCCCCCCAGGCTCCTCCCCAGCCCTGCTCCTGAGAGCCACACTTTGTTCTAGAGTAAAACTAAACTAAACTTCCTCGCTCCAGGTACCTGCTTCACACACCTGTAGCTTTTCTACCATTCTCTCCCACAGACTTTGAGGTATTCTGCATGGTGCTGCCATGGGTGTCACTAGAAAGCATGCAAAACAGTAGCAAGGGGTGAAGGGCTACTCTCCTCTTTGCATGCATCAAACATCTTGCTCATCTGAAATTCACTACAGCTGTGTCTTGATAATACAAACAACGAATATAATGTAGAAACAGCATGGGTGAATGAGCGAGTGGGTTAATGAGCACAGAAAAGGTGCAACACTGCGCAGGGAAGGAAAAGCAATACCTGTCGGACAATTAAGGTGCCCTCCTTAGAAGGAGTCAAGGCAGGTTCGCTCTCTACATCGTCGTGGACGATCATGGTTTTCACTGACTCTGTTTCACCATTGCTCAAGTTCAGTGTTGACCTATTTGCCAGACAAGAAATAATCAGGATGAGATAAGAGCATTTATGTCATAACTTTCACTGCTCCACAGCAAGGCAAAGTCAAATTATTTTAAGATTGTGACCAGAGTGGAATATTTACATAACCTGCCTGCATAAGCTTCTCTGTCATTAAAAAAAAAAAAAAAAAAAAAAGTAAGGAATTTGTAAAACACTGATTCTTCTTTTATTACAAATCAAAAGGAGAAGAGGGAAAGGATTCGCTGAGAAACCCATTTCCCGTTTGCACAAATGACTTAAAGAGACGTATGTGCTAAACAGGCTCCTAAATGCTCAGATTGAGTTTGAAAAGACTACCTTCAGTGCTTGAAAATGTGAGCGTACAAGGCTGCTATGCCTTACTCACAGATTGGTGTGAACTTTATGGTTTAGTGGAGGACTATGGTTTAGTGGAGGACTTATGGTTTAGTGGGGACTGTTAGTGTTAGGTCAGAGGTTGGACTCGATGATCTTGAGGTCTCTTCCAACCTAGACAATTCTGTGATTCTGTGAACTAATATACAAGCCAAAATGCCCAATGTCAGTTTCCTTCAGCTCCCTAAAAGTACCAAAAGAAGCAAACCACAGAACTAACACTGCTCGGACATCGTCTGGTCCAGAAGTAGATTCATCTGCTCCTTCTTGTTCCATATCATCATCTTCCTCATCCGTTGTCCCTGACTCCTCACTTGAGGACGAATAATCCGTCACCTTATGTGGAGGCCGCACATCCTCTACTGCTCGCAATTCCTTTGCCAATGCAGTTAAATCCTGATGGGAGAGGAAGGAAAAAATTAAAATTGCAGTCAGAGAAGAGTTTGCAAGACAGCCCCACTGGATTAGTGGCCAAGGTTGCTCGCTTGTCCACTGCTGTGTTTCCTTAGCCCCAGCAGCACTGTTTCCTTTGATTTATTCATTCTTGACAGTTACCAAAGCTTTCTGATAAACTGGAGCACCTACAAGGTCAACCTAAGAAGGCCATGCGATATTATAAAAAAATGCGTATAATCTGAGTCCAAACTATTCTGATTAGGACTTCAGTTTATCCCACTACACCATAAAGTTACAGAAGACGTAAATAAGCACCCAGACCCACTTTGACAGAGTGGTTGACTGTTGCAGTTCATTTTTCTTAACTTTGCAGGTAAATAACATCCACCACAAGAAACTCTGGGCAGCAAGATAGCAGAAAGAGTCTAAGAGTTATTGAGCTGCCTGAGGCGCAGCATATTTGGACAGTTGCAGACAGATGATCACCTTGAAGCCTTTTGATCCATTTCCAGTTTCATGGACATGCTCTAAGGAGTTCATCCGAGAGGACAGATTCATTAGGCCTGGCTCAGCCACACGCAACTGTCAAACAGTACAGACATAAGCTGCTTTTCTGTCTGCAGATCGGAGCGTGGGTAAAACAGGTTTGCAGTCACTGCAAGCTGCTCTCAATTGTATAGCAAGGATTTATTTAGCTGAATACAGTTTAGAGCAAGTACTTCACACATTATACTACTGGAAGTGAAGGAAGGACCAACTTCCATGTTTCTTTAAAATAGCAGCTCTGAGGGATTTGGCTGCTAGTGCATTATCATGATAGCAAGAGAAAAAAGTTATAAGGAAAGCTGGAAGTACTGCAAAATCCTACGGTGCATACAAAGAACTGTAATCAACTGCAACAACAACCAGCTTAGGAAAACATCAGAAAATAACGTTTTAAAGTCTTACCACTTCTCCCTGCACCATTCAGCACAGCATTGATACATTCAGGTCAAATGCATTATCATTGGTCCAGCCACAGCAAGGAAGCACAGGATTGAAAGAAAGAGAAAGGGAAAGGTTAGGAAGAAAGCAGATGAGAGAATAGAAATCAATTCCCAAGGCACAGCAAACCTTATTCTTTAAGGTATTGTGATGTGTAAAAGCAACTGCATCACCCAGAATGTACTGCTGGACCCACAGGCACAAACTGCAGCTCAAGCTGAAGTTCACTCCCGATGACACCACGAATGAAAGCTCACACTGTATTTTGTGGGCCTACCTGAACATGTGGGGGAACAGGGGAAAGCAGATGCAACTTACAGCAGGCTTGATAGGTCTGAAGACTTCCTTTTTCTCTTCAGGCTTTTTAGGTGCACTTTCATGACGCTGTGATGGCGAACCCTCTGATTTGGATGATGCTGCATGTGCCAAGACCCCAAAAGGAAAACAAAACAGGGATTCACCAGGAAAGTAAAATACATTTTCTTATTCCACTCTGGAGTGAGGAACAGAGGTGAGAAGGCTACCAAAGCAGTGCTTGAGAGCAAGACACCAGTTTCACTGGTTCATTATTACATTTTCCCTGAAAGACTACGCAAAAAAATATTGCTAAGCTGTGATCTCTACAGGTGCAGCTGACCTCTGACTGAAGCCAAACCAAACTGTCCACAACTGTAAATCAATGTGGTTGCAAATACTGTCTCATTTGCACAAGGGATTGGGTCTGCAGGTGACTGAAACTGCCTAACTTGACTGAAGCCAGAAGCCGAAAAGCCTGTATTGGCATTCAGCGTGCCCTATCTCAGACCCATCCTTAGCAGACTGCACCCCTTCAGAAAACAAGGTGACAGACAACAAGCATCAAAAGGTGTAGCAGTGACTCAGCATGAATCAGAGGAGAAGGAAACACATTTCCTTGATGACTTCTGCACGGTCCATCTTTCCCAAACAGGCATGCATAGCAAAGAAGGGTACTGGAAGCTAACCAGCCCTCAATACTGCAAGCACCAAGGTCTTTCCCAGTGAGGGTTACCATTCTCCATTAGTGAGTGTTGCACAGTCAGCGAATTTAAAACCCAGTGTTATGGTGGGTGGGGAGGGACTTACATCTCATCCGGAACCGCTCTCCAGACCCACTCTGAGAGCCGGGGTGAGAGCCAGGCTGGGAGCCAGAGTTGCTTGAACCCGAAGAGCTGCCACTGCCTGGCCTTGGTACGAGCTTCTCCACCCTTTCCCACAGCAGACGAGGCTCTATATTGCTGTATCAGGGGAGGGAGGAAAGCCTTTGTTACACACTTCAGTTTCAGATTCCTGTTTCTAAACTCAGATTTCATTCTTCCTCAGCGTTTTGCTAATAATCAGTCTGAAAGAAAACTTAACACTGAGCTGAGAGCATCAATGATACATCACAGCCCAAGCAGTGGCTCCCTTTGAAACACTTATTATCTTATTTAGGGTGGTCAAATAAAAAGTTTAGGTGGGTTTAAGCTATTCATTTTATTAGGAATTGGCTACCTGCCATTCTTATGTATCTAACCCAAAGTGGACAGTTCTCTCCGGCTGGATGCAACAGGTTTAGAATTGGCACAGAAGTGCCCTGGCTACCCAGGCACAAGCCAAAAAGCCAACACAGCCTGTCGCTCTCAGAATGCCCTCACCCATGATGCCAAAATCTGCAGTGGCCTGTCCACATGGCTCTGCTGAGCTTAGGGGAGAAACCCCGTTTCTCCCCCTTCCTAACCTCAGATGTTCTGCATCACAGCTCAGGGATTCTTCTGCCTCTCAAAGTCTGGTTCTGGCTGAGAGGCTGGAAAGTTTCTGCGACCTCTTCACTTTAGGTCTTACAAACACTTCTGCTGCCAGTAATCCCCACAATAACCCAAGATGACCTGTTGCACCGAAGGCATGATGTTCACGAATGGCCACATTTTTTCAGTAATCTTAGGGATATTTTGAAATTATTGCAAAAGTTGTAGGACAAGCAACTCAAGAAGGAGAGGCAAGAGGAAATTTAGCCAGTGTTTGTTGGCACACATGATCCACCAGGGGAAATTAAGATTCATCATTACGAAAAGGGGATCCAAATCCTTCTTCCTTCCACATCCAACAGACAATGCCAAAAGCTCTCTGAAGAACGCCCGTCTTCCCATCAGCCTTTTCCTTCCAACACAGGAAAGGCAAGGACATGTAGGCTTACAAACCTCGTGGAGTTTCTTTGACCTGCTTGGTTATTTTGCTGCCCACTGCCCTGCAGTGGAGAATCACGACGAGACAGGACTGGTGATCGGGACGTTGTTCTCACAGGTACCTTGGGAGAAAAAAGGTTGTGTTAAACCCATGAAGAAGAGAGAAAGAAGAGGAAGATTAAACCTCTCCTGCTACAGAATATATTCTTAAGATTTTAACACTGCTTATTCTATGTCCGAGTTAACATCAGAAACCAAAGCAATAAAGAAATACCCACAAACCCCAAAGCCTTAGTTGGGATGCTGTTCAGATTTTGAAGAGAACTCCAAGTTTAGTCTTAACATTAAGTAGTGTTTAATAGCTACCACACAAACACATACACACCTCACTACCCTCCAACTACTGAGACATTTGCAAAGAATACAGCATTTTGACTGAAGCAGGGGAGGCGCAAAGCAGTTTGCTGAAACAGCATGAGAATTAGGAGAATAAGCTCAGGGGAACCAAACAAATGCCCAGGAATGGATCAGCAGAAGGCAAAGACTGGTGGGGGAGCAAGAATATACTCGGAAGAAGCAAATCCCAGTGGATGGAAGGGGGTTGGGAGGAGAGGAGGAGGAAATATTGAATGTTTCCTTTTTGTTCAGTTCCGTCTCAATTTTTAGTACTTGTATGATTCATAGTTTGGGTTGCTAACACATGAAGAAGAAAATTAACTCTGAGCAATAACCTCAGGGATATTTTAAATTCTTTCTGGAATATGGTAATGATTTGTTAACTTTGCATAATAAATTGTCTCTCTGCAATATCTGCATTCTATAAATAATTGCCAATTTTATACAAAGCTTCAATATTGTACTGAAGGTTGATTCTCATTAACCCGTTGACTTAACTCCTGCATTGTGATCTGACTTAGGAAATACTAACACTGGCACGAGGGCACGGTCTTCCCAGTGCCCAGACTATGACATGCTTTTAAAAAAAAAATCATCATCATAAAGAAATAGCACACATCTGTCTTTCTACTCCTTACCCTTGGAGGCACCTCGTCACTGTCTGATCTAGCCCAAGCCTTTTGGGTGGGGTCGGGTACCTCCGACTTAGAGTCAGAACTCTGATTTAGCACTTCACTGCGTGAAGGTGGATATGGGTCCTGGGAACGAAGATGGTGATGAGCAAATTTGGGAGAAGGGTCACTGAAGGAATGGGATCGCGAGACAGGGGAAACATTGTTCTTGAGAGATGCCAGATGGGACCACTGTACCTTACAAGAAAACAAAACATAAAACATTCAATGCGCTCAGTATAACTGGCTGTCCAATCAACACAGAATAAAGGCAGGTGGGGCGGGCAGAGACAAATTGGTTATGGCATTAGGTAAGCGTGGGGTGGAATCAATGCATTTAAAAGCAAGGCAAGCGCCCAAAGAACGTAACAGACTGAAAATACAGCACATTTTTGTGAGATACGCTCTCCACATACACGTACACTAGTGCCCAGAAGAAAAGGGGACCTAATATCTGCACCATGAGCCTGGGGCCGAAGGCCACGCAAGACAGGAGTCATCATCTGTCCCCCAGTCTTCCGTGGGTTTTGGCCAGGTCTCATGGCAGCACTGATGGGTTGGGGAATTTGAAGCAGATTTCCAATTGAAAAAAATGTGCAAAATTAAAGAATGCTCTAAAGTGTGCAAACCAACAGACATTTACGTTATCTACGAAATTTGGAAACTAGATACAGTTCCAAACTTTTTGGAGAACAGTTGTAACACAAAAGCCTTTATTCCTTTATAGTCATTGCAATATATATATAAAAAACATAATATATATTGTATATTGTATATAGTATACATATGGACAATGCATATTATACATATACCATATATGTACCATATACTGTATGTACATATATACATATTTATTCACAAACTCAACACACACGTACACACACACATATTCAATTACAGATACACTAAGAAGGCACAACAGTGACTCCAGAGCTAAAAATCCACTGGGGTTTCCTTTGAAATACATACTGACCCTTCAGCTACTCCTTCTTTGTGCATAAACCCATGTTTCTAATTTAATTTCTGAAGCTAAGGAGGAGGAAGTGTCACAACTGAGGAACATACTGCTTTTGCACCTAGTAATTAATCAAGATTTCACTTTCAACCCCAGTTTCAGTAGGCTGGTTGTATTTGTTTTTATATGATTATTATTTCCTCAATTTTCATACACACAGCTGTTGAAGTGCCTGATTATTCTTAATATGAGTGGAAGATCAGACTTTAAAAGTAACTGGCACAGAGAGCATGAAGATGCAAGTCCAATATTTTGAAATAATCATAGAGGTTTGAATAAAAGCCAGGAATTAATGAGTAAGAGATGAAGTTCTGTCCTGATTTCTCCCACTCTCTTGTCTGCAGAAATTCTCCTGCTGCCCAAAAGAGTTTCAATGCCTAATCACAACCACGGATGGGTTTAGTTTGTACTGTCATCAACAGTCTTACGTAGGAGAAGAAAATTCTGCATGGAAACAGAGGAACTCAATATAGAACTAGACTGTTTAATTTAGCATATCTCAATAGCTTAGAGCATATGGTGTATTTGTAATTTTTAAACTTTAAGTTATTTTTTAAATGTGTGCTATAATTCCCATGAGGTACGATTACCGAGCTTTGCAAGCTTCCATTAGCAAACAACAGAATGACAGCAACCATGTTGCTCAGTGGTTTCAGTCTCTTTTTCATTTTCCAGGGGTGGTACGGAACTCTGTTTAGCAAGCATAAGCCTACTGACAACAAACTTGCTTTTCTTAGTCACGTTTCATGCATCTCTTTGAAGCAGTGATCATTCTATTAAAAAACACTTGCTCGGTTAACTTTTTTCCCCCATTATCTTAGAAGACTAAGCCAGCTCACTGCTTTCCTGAACATCTTCTTTGGTGGTAAATATTTTGCACAGATCAGATTCTGAATTGTAGAAATATACTGAAACTATGACCAGTACTTAGCCAACCATTCCACTGTTGCACAGATAATAAGATAATGCAACAGTAGTCATTAAAAAAAAAAAAAGGGAAAACAAACACACAAATCCATCAATTTATCAGTACAATAAACAAAACCATACAGAGATAATCTACTGAATAAGCTGTTTTGTGTAACAGTGCTACTCTTTACATAAGACTTCCTATGTGCCAAGATCTGCAAATCTGAAGGAAACGTGTTGGGACTTCTGCACTTCCTTCAGGCTCACCGATATTTTCCTGGGCACTTACTTGGGGCTCCATTGGCCTCTGCAGGGCAGGCTGAGCAGGTTCTGAGTTTCCATTGGAAAAGGACTCTGATCTTGAAGGCACTGGTGGCTCCAACACTTTGCCCATCTGCTTTGACTGTGCTTCAGGGGAGCCCTGATTCGTTTTTCTAAATCTCTCCTCCACCTAGGACAAAATAAATGCAGGTTAAGTCTAGAATCAGGAAACCAATTACAGTAGAAATATGAACGTGACCACCTCCCTTTCTTTACCATGGAGACCAAATATGTTTGAGGCTTGGCAAGATATTTTTCCCTGCAGCTTTCACCAGCAATGTAAAACAGAATGAACTGTCCCAACATGGCAAGTATGGCATATGGGAATCCATACTAGGAAAGAGGTTACAGTGGGCAGTAAAACGTGAAGTGATATAATGAGAGACCACCAGGATACTTCCTTCTGCCTAGACTAGTTACTACCCATCAGTAGACATAGATAACAAAAAGAATAAGTGAAAACAGCAACAACTTTACAATATAAAAGTACATTTTCCTTACTACATTACTTACATTTTCCTTACCCACCTTACTAAACTAAAGAGAAGTTATATTATTGATTATCTGCTTTCCTGTGCTTGTCTCTTTGGCAGTGCAAGAAGAAAGAGGATATGCTTCTCTATCCAGTAATATTGGAGGCAGTTCAGCTTTAGATACAGAACTGTAGGACTGCTCATCCTCTCTATTATCAGATAGTCCCAAAATGACATCTAAGTGCTGCACTCTGACCTCAGACTGCAGAGAACAACCCCCGCAACCTATTTCTGGTTCTCAGATACATGTAGAAGTGACTGTATGCTAACCTATGGAGCTTTTCCAGAGGAAGACTAAATCAGAAAGTGCAAGTCCTCAACCAAACATCAAGCAAGGTCCCCATGCAGAAACGTCACCTCTTTCAAGTCCACGGCATCCAGAACAAAGCAAGTGGTACGAAGGGAAAGAGACGGAGGGAGGCTACAGGCAGAAAGGACATACCCTCCCATTTCCTAAAATTGCTGGAATCACAGCAGCATGCACCTTTCTGCCAGAAGAGTTGCTGCTGAGGAATGCTAAACTCCCAGCACTTTATCAAAGTGTCATCGAAAGATCAAACCGGTAGCTGGGGCTGAGATTCGTTTGTTGAGATGCTGCTCATGAGATCTGCTTTAACCCATGTGCCTGGAGGATGAAACCAGTATTGGGGAGATTCCCTAACTGTTCCCTAGCAGCAATGGCATGATGAGACTATTTATATATCCATGCTGGAAGACAGAGGCAAGTCTCCAGGACTCCTTAGCGAGGCTGCTTTACAAACCTAACCTGCCTCTGCTTTCCAGACTTTGAGGACAATATCAGATTGCCTGCGGGAGCAACCAGACGAGCTTCTGGCAGGTCTACACAAAATACACCGTGTCTTGGGGAAAATGACAAGAATGGAGTCAAGCATCTTCAGCATACAATCATTTTCACCACCATGTCAGCCTCACAGAGCCATCCTTTAAAGTACAAAAATAGGCCAGACTCCTCTCGGTCTCCTTCTTATGAATAGAATAAGGAAAAGCCCCAAGTCTTTTTGTCTGAAGGAACAAGCTTTCATGTCTCTAGCTGTAAATGATAGGAGGTTTCCTCCACAAAGCACATAAACTGTGACAGCCACATCTCCTCAAAAACAAGCAAGATGTGAGAAAGAGATAGTCAGTTATTCCCTTGATAGAAACAGTCCCTGTTCCAGTCATCTGACTGTCTGGACCAGAAAACAGTATTAAGTTTCATTTCTTGCTCTAAGCTTCCTTCTGTTTCCCAGAGACAATCTTAGAAGTCATTTTCTTTATATCCTCATTGCAGCTGGAATGGGTAAAAAAAGGAAAAAAAAAAAAACACCACAAACAACATCACAATTTGCCAGAACAGGAGAGATGGCCCATGTTGGCTTAGCATCATGATGGTCAGCATCAGTGGATGGACACTTTCTCTGGACAGAGTTTTTGTGAAAGTATGAGGCACAGATTACTCACTCTAATTCACTATTTTATGTCCAAAAGTACATCAGGGTTAATGTCTGCTTTTTGATATTAACTGGTGTTGCTCCAACTGCCAGGCACAGAGAGATGACAGTTATGTTTCTGACTACTGACTCAATTTTTTCTTTGCCCTCACTTTACTCTTTCTAACTTTCTAAGGTCTTTGAATCTTTAGGAGTTTATCTCCTTTTCAATTCTGAAAGGAAAATGAGAGGTGGATAACAGAGGTTCTGCATGCCTCCAAAGCCCACCCTCAGGCTGGAAAGGAGTTCTAGACTGACACTGTGCTTTCACCAAGGCGGGCCAGGAATGAGCACCAGGACAGGAGAGGAGGACTGTTCCACACTTGTACCACAACATGCTGTACAAGTCTGAACTTCTTCCAGAAGAGAGACACATACCAGATACTTCAGCCAAGAGGAACAGATGAGATAGCACAACGTGGTTTATGAAGAACCGGGACAATAGCATCCACGAGAAAATGAGTTTGTTCTCATCAAGTCCAAACAGCAACACTTCAAAGGCAGTGAAGAACTACTGGACAAAGATGGACTGAAAGCTATTTTATCAGGTTCAATAGCCCCGAGGATTTTTTTTGTTCTTGTTCCAGAATGTATTTACCTAGTTCCCACATGCTGGTGATGAATGCCGTTAAGAGTTTTGACCAGTATTGCCCAGTCTAGTGGTTTGTGGGCAGTGTGATGCTCAAGGGAAGCACAAGAACAAGACCGCTGAAAAAGAGCCAAGTATGCATCAGAGGCAATTACTTGTTTAGCGATGTTAACCGTGGAGCAATGAAGTCAGGGGACCACTCACTGAGACAAACAGCACTCTGATGATTTCAGATTGACTTCTGAGTGCCCGAAGTCCAAGAAGGCAGCACCACAGAGTTTCACAAAGGCGGGGATGTCATCTCAGCAGAGAATACTTAACACTTCAGAAATTCAATTCATGAAATTCATGTCTGTGCTCATGAGAAGCAAATTTCCAAGAGCATGGGCTAAAGCACCTACAGGTGGTGTGTGTAAGCATCCCACATAGGTTTGTGCTCTCTCAGTTTCCAGGCCTCAGTACCTGCCAGCAGCAGATTGACAACTGTACCAGTACTTCCTGTGAAAACATCTGATAAAGTGCAGATGGGATTGACCTGATACTTCCACTATCAGTTCCCCTTAGTCTGCAGCATTTCACAACTCCTTTTCACTCTTTACACCTAAAAACCCTGACCTACAATGATAGCAGAAGTATTCAGAAGTACCTGGGTTTGGAAACCAGTGGCCAAAAATTAGGGATATCCTGCTCTTTAAAAGTGACACCCTGGTCTCCAACCATACCCTAGCAGAACCGTAGTCACCATGATGCCAAGAGGCAGGGACCGAGGAGCAGGTAGCATATTCCTGGCCACATGCAGGACTTACCTCACGCGCTCTTTCAGCAGGCTCATAGTGGGGTTTTGGCTCAGGGGTATGATAGCTTTGCTTATTTCTTTCTTGCTGCTGCTGTTGCTGCTGCTGCTGCTGCTGTTGTTGCTGCTGCTGCTGTTGCTGCTGCTGCTGCCTCCTGTGATCGTGCTGCAGCGACAGGAGGTAGGCTTGCTCCTGCTGCAACTGGCGCTGGAGTCGCTCTGCCTGTCGATGCTCCTCCATCTCTCGCCATCTGTATTCCTTTGAGAGAACGCGTGAGTAATTCAAGACATGACGTGGAAGGTATGGTAGACATGTCCCTATCCATCCCGTTAAAAATGCACCTTTCTGGTTGCTGTTGCTCTTTTTATTTTTTTTTGGATTTATTTCATTGTTAAAGTGTAACCAAGAGCTAAGTCGGACCAATATGGCATGTGTCTCATGTTGGGAAAGTTGAGAGTGTAGTGCTAAGCTTCACATGATTGGAGAGTTATGTCAGAACTGGTTTTTATTAAAAGAAAAAAAATGAGTTATTTATACTAAATCCAGTGTAAATTCATAAAACAATGATTTAAAACAACACTAGGCCATTGTATCCCAGGGAAGATTTACATATCATGTGTGCTTTTGATCTGCAACATAAGCACTCTAGTTCGTCACTGAATGCCAAGGTCTGTTCAGAAACTCGACCGCCAAACCAGAACTGTTCCACTTTAACATAAAGCCTCCTCTTACTGCCCAGAAAGCAGTGTGACCTTACAGCACTTCTCATATGTGCCTGTCAGCCCACGACGCTAGCATAAATGGCCTTTTAATCAAGCTCCTTTGTTGTCATACTGTCAGTGCAGCTGTGCCTGACTGAGGGAAGCCTAGGACTGGCCGGATAAATGGATCCTATAGCTACTGAACAAAACAGATACAGTGCTTTACCAGTAACATGGCCTGCTCCTGGAGCAGCTGCTGCTGTAGAATTTCCAAGTGCCGCTGCTCCTCTTCTAGCTGTCGCCTGATATACTCCTGTCACATAGAAATTACCCAGCAATGAATTTATTCAAAAGGAATGCATCAGAACCCCCTGGGTGGCACACCACACGCTACTTCCCCAGTTCAGCTTTAACGAGAAACGCACTTCAGGAAGGATTAGTGCCTGCAGAACAATTTAGGGAGCCCTGTCTACCGAGGATCGGATTTTGGCCCCTTCCGTTCCGAAATTTGGACTCCTGCAAATGTTGCCGGCACGGGCCAGAGCTCATTCGTGTCTTTGGGAAGGGATTTCAGGAAGCAGCAAAATGCACTCGAAGGTTTTGGAAGAGTTAAAACACAGCAAGTCTGACTCAACACAGCCAACACAAAGTCACATGCAAGTCGTATTAAACATTAGTTTGTTGCGCTGGTGCGATGAACTGTTAGCAACAGCTAGAGCCAGGCTTAGTGTAGGTCGACCTGGTGCAAGCTTCCCCGAAAGGGGCTCTGCCAAGTGCAGCTCAGACCTGCCCTGCCGTCTCCCCTGCCGCCCTCACCAGAAGCTTCTCCTGAGCAGACGCCGCCAGCCTTGCTGAATTATGCGATGAGTTATGGCACAAACAAACATCCACCAGGAAACAGGTATTAGACCAAAGTCGCTCGCTCTTGCGCTCTAGCCGCCTCTCACCTGCAGCCTCAGCGGGCCCAGACTTTTGCCCACCGCTCCACCTGACCCCCCTAAATACGGACTCGACCCCTGAGGCACCAAAACCCAAGCTGGTCACATCCTGTCATGCAATTAATGGAGGTACGTAACACATGCATGCGCACACACGCAAGCACACACGCACGCACGCACACGTTTACAGTGTATGCAGAGAGAAAGAAATGGATCTGTGATGCAGTGATGGGAGCTGTAGGGAGTCTTGCGACGGACTGGTGATGTATACACTGTGCTGTCAGTACGCACGCTGGCTGAGCCATGGTTTGGGTGACAACAAGTCTAAGAAGGGACACGTCTTCTCTCAAAAGGAAAAATAAATTTGCAGTGGTTCGGGCTGACCACACCAATTAACCGTTTGTCATTATTGGCACTGTGCGTAATTAGCATTTCAACAGTTGAAAAAGCAGCTGGGGGAATACCCGGTGTCTGCCCAAAAGCAAATTGCTGTGCTGCAATTAGAGATTTTCCATATTTATTCCCACTGGTTAGTCTTCTCTCCTTTTTGACTCAAAAATCTTTGACACGAATACAAGCACAATAAAATTCCCCAGTAACAGGATCACCAATGATCACAAACACCGTGACTTTACGTAAGAAAAATTAGGCACGTCGAGCCAAAACTAACACTCCTGAAGGTAATGGGAAATTTATAATGAGCCTCCAGGAGAGTAGTTTGGGCTCTTTATTTAGGATCAGGATTTTGCAGTTCATGCAGAGTAATTATTACCCTGATTATGACCCCGATTAGAGTTTTTAAAGGATTTTTAGAACATGCAGATTTCATGCATAAATATAGCAGCTGAATTTCACATGGTTTCAAAGGTTTCTCACCTGTTCTTTCAATGCATTAAGGGCACACTGACAACTTAAGATATATTTCCTGCCTGAATTGGCATATGTTATTATAGCTGATTTTAAATAGAGTAAGAGAGAGAGATCACATATTTAACTACATTAATTTTAGGAAGGAAAACTCTCTGCAGCACAAAGGTTCCATCTCAAATTCAGAATATTCAAAGTTTTTGATGAGCTTCTGACCGATTCAGTGTGCAAGCAGCTGACACGGAACAGAGCAGCCTTTCTCTCTGAGGCCTCCTGAAGATGGAGCATGTCCTGCAAGAACCACTGACCCAGCAAGACAAGTCTAGAAACGATTTTCAGCCCCACTGAGAATTTTGCCAATTCTGCTCGTTTTTAGTCAAGCTCAGAGGCCAGAGCTGAATTTAGAGTAAGTACCATAACAAGAGCTCTTTTTGAGGGAACACTGAGGCTGCCAGAATTTTCCAAAAAGCCCTACGAATCTATGTTAGTGCGTTTGCTGTCAGAGACAACAAAGATGAAAATGTCAGCATAAGGCTGTCTCTACACTGATTTAGTCTTACAATTTTTTTGGAAAATAAGATTTGAACTTAGAAGAAACAAATCTATTACATATATATATGTATCATGGACTCACCTGCTCCCTTTCTACCCTCCTCTTTTCCTCCTCTGCTCTTCTTCTCTCTTCCTCCTCCTTACGTCTCCTCTCCATTTCTTCCAGACGTCTTTTTTCTTCCTGTTCCCTCCGCCTTTGCTCACGCTCCTGTTGCCTCCGAGCTTCCCGTTCTCTTCTTTGTTGCTACAAAAAGGGAAAAGAAACCACAAAGTTTTACTTTTGTTGTTATCAAAGAAAGAGGTGGGGTTATTTTCAACTGAGAAGAGAGGGATTCACCAGGACTGGCAAGCTCTGCAACTGAGTGACAAAACATTTTATGCAAGCGTTCCATCAGGAAACTAACTTGTACCTAGCACAGAACTATCCTTAAAAACATCACTGACTCTCTTGTTTTTTTCATATACACACAAAATCATGTACTATCTTCTTGACAACCAAGGTGTGGAAGCTCACCTCTACTCATCAAAACAAAGAGAGGCTTTGTGAAAATGAAACCTCGATGTTTGAGTAACTGTTGAATTAATGTATAAATCAGAGGGACAATTTTCTTGACTTCAACACCTTATCCACATGTCACCAGAAGGAAATTATTGGCCCCACTGAATCAGCTAAAACTCAAACGACAACTGTCTGAGCTGTTGGTAAGCAGCTTCTCTCTTAACAACCAGCTCATAGTCTGCAAAGAATTTGGTGGTGTTGGATCAACAATCAAGCTCAATTTAATGCACTGCCCAAAACTTTGCCTGACAGAGAATGGAAGGCTGACCAACAGCACCTCAGCCCCTCCCAGAACATCAAAAGCACCTACATGTAAAAGAGACAAAGGAGCTGAGCTAAGCCTTTATGCTTACACAGATAAGCTTCCACACATAACCCAAATGCAAACTGGTGCTCATATGTCTGCTGAAGTCTGAAAAGAACATGGAAAACAGCTCTAAAAAGCATGGACCAACTCATTTATGTCCAGATAGAACCATGTATAACGTTCAGAGAAGACATTTCAAATGCCTGTACAGTCGTGACCAAATCTTCCTGCACTTCTACAGAAGCATCCAGTTAGTCCACCTACCCTGAAATCCCAGGCAGCCTCCCACAACTGCCTAAGTGTCAAAAGAGCCAGCTGTCTCCCATTCAACCATCTCTCTACTTTTGCTTTCATTATAGATTTCTACAATATGCTAAAAATCACAGAAGACGTTTAAACAAAAAAAAATCATACTCAGATTTAATTCCAAATGAAAGAACACAATGAAAAGCTACATTTGTTAGTCCTTTTACCTTTAGATTAATACAATCACCAATTCTTTTGTTGAAGCAAAGTTGCCGTGGATTTGCAGGTTTAAGGCACTCCAAATAGTCTTGCAAGAGCACTTAGATTACGATTTTATTGAGGTTCCTAAATCCATGGTTACTGGTGCGGATTTCAGAGGTGTGTTCACTGAATGAGCAAAGGCCAAACTTTGCTCCCTGTGTTACTTTATGGGATGAACTTGCCCTGCTCAGGAAGACAACCCGCATGCCTATGAAGTAACTGAAAGTTCAACAGCTTTTTCTGTCTTTTGGAATCAATACTGATACGACTCACACAGGTTAGGAATTGGTAATACTTAAATAAAAAGGGCTGCTTTATGACTTTCTTGAACTAGGTGCTCTTTTGGATCATACACACTCTGCTTGAAGACTACTGTTCATATATACCCTCTCTGTAACTGTGAAACCTTCCTTCCTTGCCCATGAAGTCAGCCTGGGTTCACCATCACCTCCCTGTGCCACAAGACACAAGTTTTCTTCTCCCCCATGTTTCCTGAATCTTCTCAGAGAAAATAAAAAAATAAAAAAAGCTTCCTTGCTCTGACTTCTCTCCTAAGTAAACACATCTACCAGCCTTTTCTCTCTTGTTTAAGCACGCTCTCTTCAATGAACGTTGATACAAAAATAGCAGAAGTGCTGCAAGGCAGCGAGGAACACAGCGCATTTCATGGGTTTCGCTGCTCCACCTCCTTCCTTTCTATAAGCTCTTTAAAAGGATTAAGTAGGCACTTTTATTTCTGAATATAAACAGCTGTGTCAAACAATTTCTATATTTAAGTCAATATATTCAGGTGCCTCTTGGCTAATCAAGTCTGACAGGCTCTTTGTTTAAGAAAACTAAGATGTGAAGTACAATAATTCTGTCGCCCTGAGGATGCAAGAGACAACACACTGCTGACTGGTTAATATGCACATTTATCAGCTCAAACACTTCTTAAACATACGAAGCCTGTCTGTCTGACAACATTGTGTTGACACTGTCAAGTGGATGCACTGCAAATCTTGTGATGGCATCAGCCTTGTTATGAGGAGGATGGGGAGGATGAGGTCTTTTGGATGAAACAAATTCATCACTTCTTGAACCAAGGGAGAAGTAGTCAGCAATAAATATAAATAACTGAACTTAATAATATGAAAATACTTTACAAATTGACTAAGAGAGAGCTGATTTCCCATGGCATCGTGAAAAAATATCAGTTGTCAAAAGACGAGATCTTTAAACAAGCCTTGAATAAGACTGCTAGCTCAGCACCTGCAGGAGATATTTATTATCCAGCAAATGATAAAATAAAAATAAAGATTCTCTGCTACCAGTGTGTGGTTAAGTCAAATCTCCAAGTCACAAACGCGCTATTGTCCAGGCGCCAAAGTACACAGAGAGATGGGGTTTCTCTGCATCGCTTCCAGCTTCCCGTCAGAAACCCACCAGCCCCTTGCCAAGGGAGTGGAAGGCAAGGCACCTGGCACTGCGTCAGCACATGCAAGCACCCTCATGACCTGCTTCTTCCCGGCCCCAGCTGCAGGAGAACAAGTCCACTTCCTTTGGACGCTGCCTTGAAACCTGAGCATTGAACGACTGGCTGTTAACAAAGTGGAATTTACATTTAACAAGCAAGGGAAAGGAAACCTAGGGTGACAAGCATCTCTCAGGTCCTATGCTACCTTTTGTCAAAAGCAAGGGCAAAGCTGGTTAGCTGCAAGCTGTCATTGACCCAAGCTGAAAACCACTACAATTTTTTAGGCTGAATTAAAACCAGTGCAATTTCTCTTTATAGAGACTGGATTTCTGACTTTAATAAGTCTGGATGCTGTAATTCTTATCACACAATACAAAAAAGTCCTGGAGTAAAACACAGCTCCTGTACCTAACCAACAGACAGCAAATAGAGATCTGGATTCTCTGAAACTATGGATGCACATACAGATCTTCTTTAGTTGGATAGGGTATTACCAACTTACTTATACGTGTCAGATGAAAAGCTTATTTTCAAAGAGGTAACTGGTACCCAGAAGGTGAGGGCAGGAACTCTTTAAAGCAATTTCAGAGATGCCAAAACAGAATTTTGACAGAAACCCACGCAAGCCTCAAATTTCTGCACTTCACAAAACATTACTATACCAACAAGGAAAAAAAAAATCAGAAAATATAGTGTAAATACTCTGCCTCCTTATCTGGCTTCAGGGTGCATTAAAGATGTTCTCATAATGGTACCCTGCACCTCCAAACTGGAAGACCATGCAGTGGAGCACGATTTACCAGGAGGGGGCAATGCAAGTTCACATGCAGTTGGTATAGACCAACACATCCAGGACCCAGTTCATACAGCAAATTGCCTAAGATGAATGTAGACCACCCTAATTTTATATTCATAGAATAGTAGTGCTCTTCCTTATACCCAGTGGAAGGCTGATAAATACATGCATTTATGATTTCTTGCACAAAGAACTAGGTAGGCTGCTATCAGCTTAGGAAGAGGATTATTAAGACTGATAATGAGACTTTTATTTTGCCCACAGTAGAGATAAAGTCAGGAGTAGAACTTCTTACTCAGAACCAGTCCAAACTGCAGGCTATTTAAATGAAGTAGATATGAATAATCTGCCCTTCTGTAAAAGAAACAAACCCCGACAGAAATCACCTGCGGGTACACGTACATTACCATCTCAGTTCAAATCAGGAATGCTCGTTTGAAGTGAATCATCCAATCATCTCCTCTTACCAGGTTTTGTTTCGTATTTTAAAGAGGTTTCATAGTGCCAACCACTCCTTTTGGATGAAATTAAAAAGGCAGATGCACTCCAACCGCAAGCAGGCAGGCAGTCTAGACCTCGGCTAATCCAAAGCAACTCCTCCTGTCTTCAAACACATGCAGTGAAGTCTTTGGGTCCTCAGCACTCTAATTACTGTGCTGTAAATCAAAATCTGTTTCTACTGGACTGTACTGCTTGCCAACGGAGCTATACCCTATCCCCTCAAAAACATCCATCTTAGGTTCTCATAACCAGATAAATCACTTAATCAGGTTGTCCAAAACTGCAGAGGTCCACAAAGAATGGGATTCCACCACAGCTAATTCTGCATTTGTCAAACCAGACTCAGTTTTGCAAGGTAAAACTCAAATGCCTCTCCCCATGCATCACACTGAGCAATGGTGCCTCCGTGTTGCTGAACAGAAACACGGGCACCTGTTAGGACAGCCTAGATCAGCTCAGATCTCTGCTTTTAACCATCTAAGTACTCATGTGTCACAGAGCTGAGAGTTATGCAATGAATCCTTATGCTCATTTTTAAAGGAGGTTGGGGAGGAGAAAGAGCAATCCCCTTTCCAAAACGTTTCAAGTAATGTCCTGCACTTTGACCCTGTATGATTTCCACCTCCTAAGCCATACACATATTATAAGGTCCCTGCAACAACGACTTCTAAAAGTCACCTATACGCCTTTTAAAAAGTAATCTTTTTCTCTTATACTGCTGAGAATTATATTTGGCAGATGTCCTAAGCACCGTTCCTGTTGCAGTCTTAGTCAAAACTGTCTAGGCTCTGGGCCAGCATTGTAAGAACAAGCCCTCAATTTTAATTTAGGAACTGGGGGGGTAGGGGGGGGTGAGCAACTTGTCCAAGGAGATTATCTAATGCATAAAATTCTTCCCAAAGAACGTCAAATAGGTATACCAAAATACACACTTACTGTACACAGGCAAAAATGAAAAGAAAGCAATGCTTGGTAAAAATATCAACAAACCGGTGAAAAACCAAAGATTCAATGCCTGATGCTAATCTTAACTCACATTACCAAGCTTCTCATTGTTTACGAGCCTCATCAAAACAGTGGGTGAGTTAAGGACAGAGTGACAACATTTCAATATTTTGGCCTTCAATTGTGTCACAACACTGATGTTTATCTAAATACGTGTCTACCACCCTTCCCCCATCTTAAAGTGCTTGTTTTGGCTGTTGCTTTGTTAGGAATCACTGGGGACCACACATTTTTCCAGCAGAAGATCCAACAAATTGAGTTGTTGGTTTTTTTTTAAGCTCACTGTGAACCTTCATTTAATTCACTTTAAGGACAATATTCACCAGCACCACCTGCAAAAGGAAACCTTTACAGCTTGTCATTCATATTTATGTTTCTAAGTGAACCAGGCAGAGGTTATAGACTCAATAAAAGATAATAGCTTTTCTCTTTCAAACTCTGCATGGTTTACTGTGTAACCTTATTCAGTAATACATCAACCTACATTACATGCTGCCTTGTGGTTGCTGAAGTTGTTAGTTCTGCCTTGTATTTTAAGAAGCAGCAGGACTGTTTTAAACGACTGTTTTCAGGTACCTGCCTTTTCTTTCAATTGCTCATTGAATTGTGAGTTCTGCAACATCCCAAAAAACTTTCAACCCTGTGCAGCAAAGAGGGATGTTGCTTAATTTCCATTATTAGCAGCAGTATCTCCTTTATTTTAAAAAGAAACTACTAAAGTTAAATGACCTAGATAATTTAATTGTAATTGCCTTCCTCACCGAAGAAGTACCCTTGCAGAATCCTGGAAATTATAGAGGCATTTAAAAGACCTTGTTGACTAAGCTGAAGTTTAGAGGATAAGTGATATCTCAACTTTCGCCCACCTTTGTTTGACAATATTAATAAAAAAAATATTTTCACATTGGCTCCTTGCTCTCTCTTCATAGCATCTTTTTATGATCTGCTCCCCCTGCAACATCACTACGGAGCCAGAGTCTAAAAACAGCTGGATGAGCAATGATGTTTATCTTGGCAATCTCAGAAGGGTGGGGAAGAAACAGAGGAGAAAGGGAGTTTATAAACCTCCCCCTTGTCCCTCCTGCTTCTATCTGTGGCTGAGTGTTTGCTTACCAGCCTCTTACAACAGCACTAAATGCACTGGCACATTGAAGAGAAGGGATAAGGAGCATAGCGTGACCTGGAAAGCTACTTGGAATTTTCTGTTATTTGTTATGCAAACACGTCACGTGAAATTTGAAGTCAGGATGCAAATCAACATTTGGTCCTGGTTGCCTCCTCGTTAAACATTACAAGGATTTGGAAAACCAAACTGGGTGTAGTTTTTCCACCATTGCTAAGTGAGCGGTAGAAACAGCGACTCAAACAAGAGGTCCTTTAAGGACGACTGGAATCTGACCCTGCACTTCCTGAGGAGCCAGATGATTGGTTTCGCTGCAGCTTTCATACCCAGCCTTGGCTAAGGAACCGTTTGAAAGTTCTGAAGCTCATAGTGAATATTCTACTACGTAGATATAAACATGCACAAGAGCTTAGGAGGTGAAAAATAGGACAGAACAGTATTTTACATCTCCATTTCTCCTTCAATTTTCAGACTGTATACTGCACACCTACCATATCACAAGTGTGATTTAGTTATTAATAATTTTGGTACAATTGTAATTTCAGCACCAATTCTAAATCATATTTATAATTCTGTGTGGCTTTTAGTCATCATGGTACTATGTGTGAGAGGAGTAAGACATGAAAAAAAAAAAGCTTTCTGCCTACCAGGAATGAGTGCCAAACACAGATGTTTGAGAAAGCTTTAAAGTGAAATTCTGAGCATGTCATGTCCCCCCCCAAAATCATCTTGAGGCACTGCCCAATTAAAAAAATAAAAATAAAAATCCATAGGGGAATAATGAATGTCTCTCATTCTCTACAGCTACCTAAAGCCTAGACATGTTGTCTCTTCTTTGGAACAGAGACCAAGGCCCAGCCTTCCCCCAGGTCCCTTCAAACAACTAGGCTTTGGCTTCTGTTGCCTCCACAGGAGCTGCTGGATATTCAGTGCTTCGGAAGACTGCTCATATTCAAGTAGCCAAACATGGATTTAAGTGTTGTGCTCTACACTTGCCAGTGGATTTGCACGTGTTGTTTTCCTTCCTGAGGTGTGCGGGAGCTACAGGGAACTCTTTCTAAACGGGCGTGGGGATGGGAAACACAAGTGGAAAAGGGGCTCTTGGCGCCGAGCACCAGCCTCCTGTCTCTACCTCTTCCAGCCGTCTCCTTTGCTCCTTTTGCTGCTCGATGCGTTTCTGCCTCTCTGCCAGCAGCTGCCTCTTGTACTCCTCCTGCTCACGGAGCTGCTGCTCCTGCAGCAGCTGCTGCCTCCGAAGGGCCTCGGACCGTTCCTTGTTTTCCTGCTGCAGCCTCAGGAAATCACGTCGGAGGGTTGATTCTCCAGGCACATTGACAATGGAACTGCAACAAAAGGAAGTTGAAGCCTCCCATACAATGAAGCCTGATGGGCCATTAAATACCTTTTCCAAAGCAGGGGAACATTAATAAAATATATCACGACGTTAAATTTTAATCTCATTTCTTTCAGAATGAAGACATTGGATGCACATCAAATACACACTCGCAGTGGAAGGCGTGAAATGAGGCCAAGCAAAATAAGGACCAACTCTGACATTTTGGAGCCCCTGACCAGTCACATTTGCCATAAATCTCCTTCCATTCAGAGCTCTCTGGCTCTAAGCCACATGAGAGGGAGTTTTTAAACCTTTAGCAGTCATAGAAGAGGTATTCAAACCCTCCGGGTGGTTTGTGTGGCTTGTGCACACACTTAACAGAAGACAGAAATTTAGTGTGCTCCTGATTTATGGTCATGGGCTTTAGACTTACTTGGCACGAACTGCCCAGAGTCCTCCAAACAGCAGTTATTACCTTGGCTCTCCTTCTTGTTCAGGCACTTCCTCCTCTTCTTCCTCACTTCCACTATATTCATACTCCGTCTCATCTAACAGGAAAGAAACAATGGTCCAGGTAGTGCTTATCTTTAATTTGAGGACAGTGGGGACTGGCAGCAGCACCTTAGTGAACCAGTTCCTGTCCCCCTCAGTGAGAAGATCCATCTGAGACCCTAGGATTCATTCTGCATATACAAAGACCATCTTCCCACACGTGTAAAGCAGCACAGTGCTTTGTGGTGGATTTTCAGCACATTTCCTGAATGGCACCAAGTTTGATTTCTAAGACAAGACACCTGGAAAACCTTGGCACCACCTGAATAAAGAGTACAGGCTGCCCAAGACATTCGCTTCATAGGTCTTGTAATGTGTTATTTCCTGTGAGTCTGATTTATGGCATCATTCCAAGAATGAACCTACTACAAAGCAAAAAAGGGCAAGGCATCTATGCCAACATCCTCCTGACTACTGTTTAACACTCACATGGAAGAGGCATAGCCTAGATGTTAGTAAATTTAAATTCTCTGAAAATATGACACTTGCAACTGATGTTTTCTCCAGTAGATGGAGAGAATAAAACCTAGAAGTCTGCTGATAGTCAACCCATGAATTAAAAAAGAACCTCTCAAGGGTATGGGTTGTTTGGAGCTTTTCTAAGGGTGGGGATTTCGAACAAAAAGCAGGACAGAAATGCCTATTTTTAATAAGCTGCAAGACTGGATTTTTAGAAGCTGCATACCTTTTTCTCCTCTCTTCTTCCTGGTCCTGTCTATATGGTCCTTAAGCTGGATTCGAACTTGCCTTTCATTTGGTTGGTCACGTATAAACGGATGTTTCAACAGTTGTTCTGTAGAAGGTCTCTGCATGTAATTCTTCACTAGACAGCCTTCTATAAAGCTGAAAAACTTCTTTGACCTGAGAAAAGAGGAAGGGGAGGGAACAAAACTTAAGTTCATAGCTAGAACTCAGCTCAAACAATTTTCTTCTGTTCTCCCCCAAAGCCTAATCCCTGTGAATTCCTTAATTTCTTCCACAGAGCATCATGTCCCAGAGGACGGTACAAGTGCTGTCTGAAAGTGTGCACCCAAAACAGAGCTGAGTGTCCTCCAGCTGAACATCAGGTTAGATGGACACAGGGTGATGCTAACATACCTGCAGCGCTTTGGCACAGCCCTGCAGTAATGTGCCCTCTTTCACGGCCATAATTGCCCTGAAAGGCAGGATGTATTAGCGAAAGCAGATCATGCAAACCCAGCTCTGCTACTTCTGGGCCAGCGCTGGCTTGCAGCCAGCTTGCTTGGAGCACAGGCAGGGCAGCTCTGGTGTGTCTCCACCTGCCCGTGCTATCTCAGGGCATGCCTACTTCAGACGAGCCATGAGGAAAGCCGCAAGAGCCGCTGCCAACATTTCACCAATGCGAGAAGCACCACACTGCTTTTCCGTGCACCTGGGCTCACTGAGATAGGTCTGCGAGACCTTACGATTATTTTAATTTCCACCTTAAGAGCCAGACAAATAAATCCTCAGTGAACAACACGTGGGTGTTGAACACTGTTGGCTGTTCAACACCAGCATGTGGGGTCAAATTCTCACTGGCACAATTTGAAGGGCATAAACCCAACTGAGCTCCTCCTGCACACCACGTAAAGTGACAGGGTATGGAAGTTTGTCAAACTGGAGCACCGTCTTTCTAAATTTGCACTTAATTTGGACTCTTGCAAGAGGACCTCTCCAGACAGAAGTCACCAAACGAGCTGCCTTGCAAAATGCCCATCATGAAAATATCCACGACCGTATTTTTCATCATTTGGCCAATTTTCTCATAACCCATCACTGACTACACTAAATAAAAACAGTTGAATCACTTTTTGTCTATTTGGTGCTCTCAGACTGCTCCTGTGCCTGGGCAGCAAACACTTCCATTAAATGGTTAAATGCAAAACCAATAATGGTTTCCACCCATCCCTTCACTCTCCTGGTGTCATCCAGGAGGCTCAACTGAAGGTAACCTCGCTGCTTTCTGTTATTCCTCACACCTAGAATGTTATGAATCCAAATAGAAAGGTTCATGAAATGTTCATGCAAATACTGCATATGCATCTCTATTCCGTTAACACATGAAGAAAGCACATACGAGAGAGGGAGAGGGATGCCCTGACAGGACAAGTTCACAAATAAGTCAACCCAGGCAAAGACCAAGCCCAGCAAGCAAGCCAAGTCTGCATTATGTTGGTTTTGACGAGGCAGTCAAGTCACTTCAGTATTTTGACAGGATCACAGCATCCTGCTATCACATCCAATCTATACAAAACCTCTTTCTAGGGAGTTTTTTTCATTTCATACGTGCCAGTCATAACCAGTAACTGTGAGGAAATCCTCCGATACTAATGGATTCTTCTCAGCTGGCAAGAAGCACACACTCAATTTCAATCGTTTACAATAATTATAGTAAAAGCCTTCATTAGTTTTAATAGCTCCTTTCAACTTAGCAACTAGAACACCATAGCACTGCTCTGCTACTGTGTTATGATACATCTGAGAAAACATACTGCATATTAAGAGTGCTGCGGGAGTTTATTTTTTAAAATATGGTTCCATTTGTCACCTTGATACAGATGCTGTTTTGCCAAGAAACGAAGAAGCTTTGTTTTTATTTTTGCAGAAATCGAGATGCAGTTTCTCTGGGACAAACAGAACTAAATAAACAAGGCACGCTTTTTATTTTATGCTTCGATTCCGTAGCACAGGAGATAACAACAAATGGTTTTAGCTAACAAGTCTCCACAATTCTGTGGACGCGGTAACAGAATGGCATGCAGTGAGACAGAAGAAAACATCTCGCCACAAGAGGAGTTACAAACCAGAGGCAATTATTACGTACCATTTCTTGGATTTTAACCGTGGGGGAGGGTTTCTGGGTATCAGAAAGAGCGCCCTCATGGGATGCATGTCACAAAGCGCTGGAGGAAAGAAAACAACAGTGAACAGAAACATGGAGACATTGGCTTAGCTGCTCCCTGTCCATACCATGGCTTCAGCTTCCACAAACATTCCTGCCATCCCCAGCACATGCAGCAGACACAGGAGATGGGATTAGACAGAGCAGACACGGAGCAGGGAAGGAGGATGCCCAGGAAAGGACACTAGAAGCAAATCCTCCATTTTTATCATCTTTCTATGCTTGACCCCTTGCACCATACGTCTCAGGCTCAATAATCTCTGCAGGCACAGCTAATGTTTTCCACACAGCAGAAATTCAGGAGAAACAGACTGAAGTGCCAGGGATCCGGGATTCAGAGATAAGGGGCCACAACTTTGGTGAAGAAGCTCCTTGGATGCCTGTGGATGCCACCAGACCACCAAGCTTAGAGATGGGCTTTTCAGCTGCCTCTGGGGGAAGAGGCAGACCCCACATACCAGTGGACAAACCAAGGCAAGTGCTGATTAGAATTTACATTGCATCTTTGCTTACTTCTCAAATACCCCTCTTGTGATTTTATGTGATGAGGGGCCAAGCTCTGCTTCAGTTTGGAAGTGAAAAAAATATTCTTGTCCAATTCCAGGCTTACAAAATCCACTGAAAGAGCTTTTAATTGACAGCCACCCAGGCAACCTAGTGCTCTGAACAAGAAGGTAAAGCAAAAAGGAGGTCAAGTGGTAGCTCAAATGCTGTTAACACAAGGCTGGCTGAGGTGTCCTGGGAGCAGCTCTCCTACGGGCATTCATGCAAATGTGCAATTAGGAAGGAAAAAACAACAAAAAAAATCAGACCTCCTACAACATGAACCAAAACAAGAATGTGCTGCTTCATTTTATAAATTTTACATTAACAACAAAAACAATCTGGCAGAGGTTATAATGAAATGATCATTTTTTTTAGTTAGTAAAATGTCAATGTGTCATTTCACCTTCATCATCTCAAAGACAGAGGTTTCAAGCTGGGATTCTGTGATTACATGTGGTGTGGTGGTGGTGGTGTTTGTTTACATGTAAAAAAATATATATATTTATATTGTAGTTCACTCTTGGGTACCTTAGGCTGCCAGTTTTAAATCCCAATCTCCATCTGGGAGTGGGAGTAAAAATATATGCCAGTATACTGAGGACTTCCATAAAAGTTACCATTAAAAACAAAAACATCAGGCCTTATTTCTTTTTAAATCCCTCTGTGCTCCTTGCAGATATTTGATGTTCAGAAGGAATAAAGATATGAAGGGAAAATAAGCCACCACAAGTTGTGCATGCTTCTCTCTCAAAAATACCCACGTCAACTCCTGAGTGCTCTCAGGCAGTGAGCATTAAGTTCAGCGCTCTGTGCTGACGGTGGATTTACACTTTAAGTCATGTCACTTTTAAGGAAGATCAACACCACCCACCGACTGAGTTGAAACAAAAGGAGAAGCAATGTTAGCATTACCCACCCTGCTGGAAAGGCGACACAGCAAAGATTGCTACAGGCGCTTTTTTCATTAAGGTCGAATTTCTCCAGGCCCCGCTGCACCTCTCCCCAGCTGAGGTTTCAACATCCCAGGCCAGCCCCTGCACAAACTGGGACACGCTTCCAAAAGACAATATACTACCCATAGGAAGGAAGTCTGACGCTTGATTACCTTCCAAATATTCCTGCTATAGAAATTAAATTACTGCAGTCTGCACTGTAGTGCTTATCCTATCCTATCTTTATCAAAAGTGTTGCTATTTGGGGAATTTTGTATTTATAGGGCAGGCAAAACCAAAGAGAACAGAAATAACATGAGGACACTTTCAGAAACCTCAAAACTAGGCTTAGATTACGAGCAGCATCTCCTAAGTATACGTTTCAGCCCTAATCAGCCCGCTGGAAAAGCACACGTATCACTTACGGGGAGCTCCTTCTGCCATCTCGATGGCTGTAATGCCGCAAGACCAGAGGTCGCTCTGCACAAAAAGAGACAAGCACCATATGTTAGGAGGTAGATTTACCCGTTCAGACGGTACGAACACCATTTGCAGAGGCACTGTAGGTGAAATTGTAATGAAATACCAAGGCTACTTAAATAATGTAAGCTACTTTTTTCTTGAAGGGTTTCATAAAATGCTGTTTCTCACATCATACATATGTATACACTCAAATGCACGTGCATCATACACAATATGCAAATGGCTCTAATAACACGGGAATATATTCACATTAGGACAATAAGAAATACATTTGCCCCTAATCTGAGTCTATGAAACAACAGATTTGGCAGTATTCCCTCACTTACAAAGGGCTGAACGTTTCCTTGTAACGGACTCACAGAAAACACTCATTGTATTCCCCCCCACAGAAGACCAAGAAAATGAAAGACGAAAAGCTGTGGGGCAAAACCCCAAACCTGTCAGGTCCTTTTCAGTGTCTAAATACAGATTAGTGGAATACACCCATTCCTGAATCTTTTCTAGGCAATAATAGCTAAATAATAATATAATCACATAATAGTTGTATGTAGCGGAAGAGCCATCACTGTGAAAATTGTTAAGAAGCCTCTCTTTGGCACAATGCTTGTGGCCAAAGCACCTACTCCATCCCTACCACCTCATCTTTGCTTGAGACGTCAAAAAAAACACAAGAGGCCTTCAGTGGGAGCCTTCCAAGGTATTACCTCTGGATAATGTCCCTGACTAGCAGTTAACTGCACTTGCTCCCGAATGAGAGCCAGGATCCTCAAGTGCAGGCAGCAGCTGGGGGAGTCCTGGCAAGGGGCAAAACCAAGAGACTCCTGCAACTTAGTGGGCAAAACAGCGCAGGAGGCTGCAGAAAGGAGCACAGCCACTGTACAGGTCTGTTCTTGAGAAAAGCAGGGTTCATTTTTGGTAAGAATATTGATTTTTTTTTAAAAAAGTGAAAATTAAAGAGCAGATAAGCTCTTCTGTACGACAGACAGGAGAATTTCTAGTAGTCTGGCAACTGCATTTTCAAACCCAGCAAAGCAATCATTTCTCTTGGTCCAACCTATCCACTCACGCTGAACTGCACAGCCTCCTGGTCTTACAGAAGCTTCAACCATGAATTTTCTAAGAACAAAACTAAATAAATAAAAATAAGATAGAAAGACAACTGCTTCAGCTCCCTACAGGCTCCACCAGGAGCAATATACACGTGTTTTCAGAGAGAAGGAACCCCTTCTCACATCACGATTGCATTAACAAATACAACAGAAAGGTCTTCTCCTTTACTAAATCATATTAGTCACCTTCCTAATAAATCTACATGCAAAGATTTAAAGCATTATCTTCATTACAATGAGCTGTTGGATGTAAAAAGTGATTAAATCAACAGAAATAGGATCAATCTGATCAATTAGTTGAAAAAAAACACCAATTCAAATCTCCTGTGTTTTTTTTTTTTGTTTGTTTTTGTTTTTGTTTTTTTCAAGAAATCTGGTCATACCACTGGTTTTCTGATAGCTACATTGCCTTTCTTGGTTAAAAGTTGGAATAGTTGCATTAGTCTAAGTGAAGATTTTTTTAAAAGCTTATTTTCTCATTTTTTCCTTCCCTTGTGCTTTTATAAAAGCAAGCTGAGAAGTATTCTTAAGGTTACAGGATGCTCTGACCAGAGAAATTTAACTTCAAACACAACATATTCTTAAGGGTAGTGCAAATGCCATCAGGCCAACGGTGGTTTTGCAGTAATTAAATCTTTTGTTTGTGGCGAACTACGTGAGAAATAATCTCTGTTGAGAAATGTCAAGATGGATACATTTTTATCTCCATGTACATGTATCCTGAAATCAGGAACAGGCACAGTTTAAAGACCTCCTTCTGTACTTTGCTAGCTCTCCAGACGGTGCTTCTATTTAAGGCAACACCTAAACTGCATTGTTCTGGATTATTACAATAACTGGGACATATTCGAGCACAATTTAAAGTACAAACGTTATACAAATTGAGAACACGAGCATCTCCAGTCAAACTCTTTTTTGCCTTTCTCTGAGTACCTACAGTACGCTGAAGTCCTACTCCCTCTGCCTCGAAGCTAGGACAACACAAGTCACAGCAATTTTTAAAGGTCATAAAATTGGCAGTGATCCGTACCTCGTCCTCCCCTAGCAAAATGTACCTTCACAAAATAAAATTACTCTTACAAAGCATAAGAAATCTCACAAACTACCATCATTCATAGGTGTTCATGCTGCAAAGGTAAGGTTTTTGTGCGTTGATTTGCGTATGTTTTCTGTGAACAGGGCTCTCTTACTCTGTAATCGTATGTAGCATCTGGATTTTCATCACAGGCAATAACTTCTGGAGCCATCCAGTACGGAGTTCCAATGAAAGTGTTTCTCCTGCCAACTGTCCTGTCCAGCTGAGCACTCACACCAAAATCCACTGCGGGTGGGAAAAGATTAAAATAAAATCAGAGGGGAAAATAATGCCGTGATTACTTCTGTAAGACAGTCTGGAAATAAAACCAGGTGGAAGATCCACACGGGAAGACCATGCTGAAGAGAAATATGATGATGAACACAGAGGCAGCCAAGTCACCGTGCTTCACTCGCCATGTGCTCAGGCCACAGGCGTCTGTAGACACAGCAGTGGTATGAGCACCTCTCCTGCACCTCTGACCAACCTGTGCTGTCTGTGCAGCATCACCTCCTCCCCAGACAGGACTGTGTGGCTACAAAATACTGTCTTGGAGGCTGAGGAAGGACCATTCCCTCCCTAGCCAAGCACCTTTGTCTACACAGGCAGGCTCTGCTCTCACGCCATGGGAAAACCACATGTGAACGAGTCTCCTTTTTTTGGCTGTCCACCTTTTTTGCTGTAAAATTGGACAGCAAAAATAATTTGTTGCTCAGTGAGCTGCTCCCTGCTCTGATGCACAGAGCAGATGTGTCAGCGGGAACAAAAGATGAAGATTATTCAAGAGGTGCTAACTTTGAGCACATAAGCACATGGGCTGCACCAGAGATGCCCGTTTCGTTACATGAGATTTTTCCTCCCTTCGCTTTCTCCCCCTGCCAGTTCCACTGCTGTGATCACATTCACAAGCGTGAGAGATGCTTTTCCGTACCAGTAACTGCGTCTGCTCTAGGAGGGAGGGCTGTGGCAGCTTCACAGAATCCATCATTTAAGAGACACAGACAAACTGGTGGAGACAAGCTCTGTGGGAGCACCGGTTCGGGAGCTACTGTGCTCCACTTTGGACCAGAAGGAAGAAAGCTCTCCAGAGAGCTTCCTCCTCCAGCAGCCAGGACATCTTCCTATGCCTCGTGCTGCAGGAAGGTGTAATGCAAAACAGAAGGGATGTGGGCTGGGTGGGAGGCCTTCAGCATGGCTCTATATTTAACAAAAAAAAAAAATAAGGTGGCGAATGCAGTGTGATGCAAATACAGAAGGTTAAAGTGTTCAGAAACTGGAAGAGGCAGATTAGAGAGAAAGAAAAAGGAGGATGTCCACTTGCGGAGGAAAGAAGAGGCATGGGATGAGCGCTGCTTCCAGCAGGCATGCCAGAGCTGGAACTGCATGCCACTGCTCCCTCAAGGGCGGCACCCAGGCCACGTTTTTGTGCCCAGAGCCTGAACAGCAGGTGCCGTTGTCGCTCAAGCCAAACGCAGGAGCGACTCTCATCACCTCCCGAGTCCAATATACACAGAGCCTCGATCCACACGAGAGCAGTGGCAGAGTGTACATGCTAAAGAAGGTGTTGCAGGGCTCTTAAAGAACTAAATTAATTTGGGAACATCCAAAAAAAAAAAAGAAAAAACAAGGCTAGATGAATCGGGAAGCGGACGTGCTTGCCTACTTACCAAGTTTCACTTCTGCGTTCTCTGTTAACAACACGTTCTGCCCTTTGATATCCCTGTGAATCACATGGTGGGCATGAAGATGTGCCAACCCCTGCAGGAGGGAAAAGAGAGGAAGGAGATGACGTTCAGTGTTTTTTTGCTCAGCAGCAGACGATCCATGTCTGAAAGTCTCAGCCCAGTGACACTGTAAGTGACACTGGGGTCAGTGCACCTCGGTGGCACCTGACAGGCACAGAACCCCCCTTAAAGGGATTGGAATTTAGTCTGGTAATGGGGCAGGAGGAAGAAAGGAGGAAGCACCAACACGCAGATACGTCCCCTGAGAAGGAGAAGGGATGGTCGTGGGCTAGCATTGATGTTTGAGGGTGAGGGAACACCGACAGCAAACAAAAGCTGTGGAGCAAAGCTGAGTCCTCTTATCTAGCTTCCATAATTACGAAGCCAGATAATTGTTCCTCGGGAAAAAAAAAAAAAAAAAAGAGAAGTGAGCATTATACTTTCCAAAGGAAACAAAACCTCCTGGCATACGGTGCTTTTTGTTGAGACAGCACCTGGATGCATGCCCCAAAGTGTCAGCCATGTGGAGGGAGGGCCGGGCAAGACATATGCTGCGTTTGACTCCCTAATGCAATGGGTAGAACAATAGGCAGCCCTCGTAGCAACTGCCTGTTTTGGTTTCTCCTCGGCACTCTGCTTGGAAAACTCTAGTCTCTGGTGGGATCGTCTTGCCTGTTCGTGCTGCCCTCATAGGCTTTTAATGTTTTATGAAAAATAAAGCCATAGAACCTTTACAGCTGCAAAAGGTTAAGGGAGCAGCGCTTGCTGTAAAGAAATATTTTCTAACACATGTTCTTCATTAACCGGCCGTTTACCAGTTTGCCTACAGAACCATTGGGGCTCTTTGCTTTTTTGGAAACAGCTAATGAGCACGGCAAAAAAATATAACCCGCAGCTCCTCCCTGCACATGTCACAAACTGCAAAAAGAAGGGGCAACGTCCTTGGTGCTGCCTCGATGCTGGCTGTTAACACGAAGTGTGCTCCTATTTTTCACGAGAAGGAAGGCTTTTCCGCGGCTTCGCACAGGATGCTTTCTAAAGCCTTACGCTGCGCTGCCCCAGCCAGGGTAGATAATCACATGAATCACACGTGCTCCCCAGGGTCCGATCCGGTCTTACTGGAAAAACACATTCAGGTCCTCGAGAGGTTAGGACGAGACTGAGGGGCAACGTCTCGAATCTCCTGCAGACCCCAGGTGAGTCCTCTGAGGCTGCTCCGACCACACAGGAGACTCTCACTTGAGTCTCCACCTGCGCAAACCTTGGCACCTCAGCTCACTTAGCTCTTTGTTACACAACCTCTCTCTTCCATTACTGACGAATTCAGTGTCAAATCAGGTTTTGCAACGCTCCATTGCAACGTGAACTGAGCATTCCTTTTTTCTAGATATTCCAGTTCCTGCTAGCAAGCAGTAAGGCTCCTTTTACAAGTGTCTCACAAGAAAACAGCTTTCAGGTAACTCTTTTCTGAAGGAAAACCTTTTTTCATCTTCTCAGCAAGCGAGACTCTACCACCTTACCCAAGGAGAGCTCAGGATAAATGCAAGATAACATGCCATACCTCCAGGGCTGCACAGTTGTTCTCAAGTCAAGCGTAAGCTCAGCACTCAGCACTACAGCAGTTAGCTTTCTTCGCATTAAAGTATGCTGCTACCCATTTGACTGGAAGTACAACCAGCAGTAGGTATTCATGACAGTAACTCTTCTTCCTCCTAGTAAACAGCATCTTCAAATGTGTCAGCCAAAACTTCAACAGCCAAACTCTCTCCTAGCAGATGGAGTCTGAGCAAGAGACCACAATCGCATGTCTCCATCGTCTTAAAAATCACCAAGGCAGAGCCAACGTGCAGCACAGACAACAGCAGCACTGATTTATGCGAGAGCCACTGGTGGTTCCTTTTAGCATGAAGCCCTCAGAACTTCATTTGTGATGAGGCAATTGAGCAGACGCACTGCGTGATGGTACGGGTAGGAGGCAATTTGTTTTACCAAGAAGCACGAGGAAAATCGTACCAGATTTACTTAGCGCAGCAAACATGCCAACTCAAAAAGCGCTCTGACGGTGCCAACTGGAAATTAAATGTGAGGCGTGATTAGTTAAAGCTTCAGTTTCAGAAAAACTGGTACGTGGCATCCCTCTCTCCCTGAGAAACTTTTGCAGAGCCGTATGCTGGCGCTCTGCGGCGCACAGCCGCACGCGGGACGGATCTGCCTGCCAAGCACATTTGGGATTGCCCATTCTGTACCCTCTTGTGTTAGGACACTGCTGCGACCTGGATCTTTTCCAAACTAAAAGCATCTTACAGGCACACGGGCACTGTTTCGCAGCTTCTCCAATAGGCAAGGGCTCTGGTTCTTATTGCTGGCTTCTCATGACCAAAAATTGCTGCTCTCTGCAAGGCTGCTGTTACAGCGCAGCACGACGCACACAGCCTGCGAGGATCTGCACCTCCTGTCCTCTCTGCCGGCGTAGGAGATGAAGTTCAATGACGTGGAGCAGACATCCATCCACTCCTACACGCTCGTCAGACAATGATTTGGCTAACAGGATTGATCAGAAACAGCTTCTTGCAGAACCACGAGCGAGGTTATATCTGCAAGATTGCCTCTGCGCTTTCAAGTGCAGCGGACTGCTTTCCTTACCCTGAGAATCTCCCTGGAGATGTACGCTATCCAGTCTTCTTTCAGAGTATTCCCTTTCGTGTTCTTCACGAGGTCTGTGATAGAGCCTGCTCCACAAAACTCCATAACAAGCTGCAAAACAAACACCAGCATGCAAGCACCATTACACACAGCTCCCAGCCGCCTAGGGAGGCAAAATAATCAGGCTGCAGCACCGATCTGGGAAACCCTCCCGAAGCACAAAGTATCATTTATTTTACCTCTCTGCCTGGGAAGTGGCTCCAAAACAAATGTCTCCAATGCGTGTCAGACGTATATGGAATATGTCTCACATTAGTTACCACATTTTCAAGGACTGATTTAATCACTGTAATTTAATACTGGGAATCTGGATTTGCTCAGCTATGCAAAATGCATTAGCAGTAACAGGAGTAAGAGCACATCCAATGCTGAAGGAATCAAGCTGACCACACCATTGCAACACGTCGTATTCCATAATTCCCACTTATTTATTGGACACAAGGACATGCACTGGAGTCTGTACTCTGCCATTCCAAACCCAAACTTCAGTCCTCTGCGGGGTATAGGCAAGATGGGATAAGAAACATAATGGGTAAAATTTTCAAGTGCAGCGTTATTTTTACAGCCACACACTCTTACTGCTCAGCTCCTCTGCGTTGTTCCCATGAAACATGTTACCATCCATCTGGGAAACGGGGAAAAAAGTTACTTAAAGAGCAAATCCATTGCTAATAGCAAATCTTGGTTCAGCCATCACGTTAGCCTATGTGATTCACCTCTCTATCTGTTCCAGCAAGCACCAAATTCTATTAGTTTGTCTTTGCCTAATGATGTTTCTGTCAGCCTCAAATGATATCCGAAAGGGAAAGGCTAATGAACGTGCTTGAGAAATATGTGCTTACCCACAGTTGGTCATCATGTCCTGGAGGACTTTTCTTAATGAAAGCACCATAATAAGTTGCAATATTTCTGTGATGAGAATACTTCTTTAGCATATTAATCTCCAGTTTGATTTCTTCTTCTTCATCCTTTGGAAAAAAACAAAAAACAAAAATGTGTTTAATACAACATGTACGTGACTTACTTCTTCTTTAACACGAGTAGTTTTAAAAAGTTTAATTTATAAGAGCGTCATGCTCAGTAAACACATCTCTGGTTCATGCCAACAAAATCCTCTTTATAGAGACGGGCTGAAACAGACCTGTACTTCAGCAAGCCTGATAGAGGAATATTATCACTGCCTTCCTCATTTTTTTTTCCTTTAACTTTGAAGATTTCAACCTGTCCTATTTCAATGCCACTGGTGGAGAAGGGCAGGATCCCACAGCAGGAAAGCAGAGGTGGAGAGCAGGAGCCCCCCTCCCCGCACCGACAAGGCATTTGCCTCGTGCACGGGTTTCCTCCTCCTCCTCCTCCCTCCGGCTCGGCAGAGGAAGAGCAAGTGCATCAGGAAAAGAGGGCCGGGAGCCCGACTGGTAAACAGGATGCCGCAACACAAAAGCAGAGGAAGGATTTCCCCCCGCTCCTCCTCCTCTGCGAAGTGCCAAGCAGCAGAGAGCAGCTCAGGTGAAGGGAGGTCGCCTCTCTTAGCTCACCTAAGGGCAGCGGGAGCCCTCCTTTAGCACAACTCAGTTAAAAAAAAGAGCTCATTTGCCCATTTACACAGCCTTGCAGCCCCAGGGGACAAACATGTTCAGGAAGAAGCTGCGCCCCCTGCTCCCCAGGGAGTGTTTTGATTACCCCGTAATGTCAAAGCTGATTGCATGGGAACATTTTCAGCCGCGAACTTCCTCGCAATCTGCAGCAGGGCAGCAATCAGCTGCCCCACAACGAGGTGTGCACCACTGCGAGCACAGCTCCGTGAGCCAAAAGCTACCTCGGGGCTTCCTCGGCTGCTTCTTGCTGTCGGTGCTGCTGTGTGGTATTTGGTTTTAGTCCATATGCAAACAAAAAAAGAAAAAAGATGAAGGACTAGAAGTGCACATGCCTGCACGAGAAACTACCAGGCTGAGCTTTGGATTTCGGCAAAAAATGCAAAGGGAGCTCTGCTGAACTGAATAGTTTGGGACTTGCTCCCTGGCAGATTGCTATCTGTAATTGGATTAATCTGCTGTTTGGTACCGACTCTTCAGACGAAAATTATTTCCTACCCTCGGCACATGAACACAATAGCCCTGACCATACAATGGGCAGGATGTCCTAAAGGTTGCTCCTGCTTATCTGCTACGGCAACAGCCAGAATGACAATGCTCAGACAGGATCTTTTGGGGAAGAGGGAAAAAAAAAAAAAAAAGAGCAAAAAGATAAAATAAAAAGAGCAAAATTGTTGTGCTGCAGATTCAGGAGTGGTTTTGCCCTGCCCTGCCGGGGTTGGCTTCTCCCCTCCGGGCACAAAAGGAGGGTGAGGTCACCAGTGAGGATGCAGCCCCCAGCCCCGCAGATGTCTTGCATTAGGGCGAGACGCCTCCCGCCCCAAAATCGCACAGGATAAGAGCGCTTCCGCAAGGCCCTCCTGGCGGACACGTGCGCCCGCAGCCTGGCGGCACCCTCAGCCCCCAAAGTGCTTTGGGATTTTATTTAGGGACGCGGGGAAGGAAGCTCCCTCACCTCCTCCCTCCAAGGCAGGCTGACATAGCCCCCTGGAGGCGCAGGGATCACAAAGGGAAGAATTAAAACTGACTGGGGAGAGGGACGGGCGCTCTCCTGAAGGGATACAAAAGTGCAGCCTTTTTTTTCCTTTGGAGGAGGGAGGCAGCTGGCGAGCCCTTCCCGGGGATTTTACGCAGCTGGCATCAATTACCACTCGAAGCCATTATCTGCGGATACAAACTCCCATTGAAACCCTCTTTGTCTGGGCTGGTGCAGGGGTTTTACACTTCTCTGGTTTGTGGCAGCACGGCTGCTGGCTGGCAGTTCCTGCAGCCAGCCATACTTTCACGGGACGCACGTGAGCCAAGGGGGCTCGGAGTGGATTTCCTCATCCCAGAGCGTGTCTGTGGTGGCCAAGCAAGGTTAAAGCAAAAAAGGTTTTATGATGAAGGTACAAGCAAACTTATCTACCCTCACAGGTGGTTTACGTGCTGCCCTATGCCGGTTTGCAGTGCCATACAAATGGGTGCCCTCGGTAACCTTCCTTTTTGACTCAAGAAATGAGGCAGCCAAACAGCTCAGCTCTCCCGTTCCAGAGGCCACGCCGTGATTTTAAGCTATCAGTGAGTGTTTTAATTAACAACGCTCCCCCGTAGTGGAACCCTTCTGTGAGGGGTGAAGGCAGGGAGCACTAAGGCACAGCTCCCAGGATGGTGGAGAGGAAAGTGTTTTGCCTTCGGAGGCACCAGAGATCCTCTCTTTCACCATCTTCTCCACATGAGGTGCAAGCTCAAAAAATAAAAAAACAAAATAACAGGAGAGGCCCACGAGAAACCCAGTTTATTTTCCTTCCTCCTTCCTTTCCCTTCTCTTGTGTCCAAAAAAAATGTCCTAAGGGGCACCGAACACAAACAAAAAACTCCCCGGATAATTCCCGACACCAACTTGTGCAAATCACCCTTCTCCTTGGGTGTCACATCCTCCCCTCTCCCTCCTTCCCCGCACCCCAGGCCTGGCTTGTGTCCATCCGAAGCAGGATCCGTCCCGAGCAGGGAGAGCCTGAATAGCGCCTAGCACAATAGGTGACCTTTCCTGGCGCTAGGATCGGCACTATATACACTCCTTAATACAGTTCTCACACACGGGGGGGGATGTTTTGGCAAGCAGTGCTGCACACAGCGCAGTGTTTCACCCAGGAGCTCTGGTGCTGCCTTCAAGCCGGGCAGGAGATTGCAGTTCTGGGAGGAGCCTTAACCAATATAAAACCGAGATCCCCAACGCTGGGCAAGGCCCTGCCAAGGTAGGAAGCTCATATGAAGCAGAAGGGTTTGTGGTGCTGAGAAACGTAATCCTTCCCAAGGCTGCTGTGGTGTCAGAACGGGGAATGGGATATAAAATCGTTCCTCAAAAAGCACTGAGCACAGGCTTCTTGGGAGGGAAAGCCGGAGCTGTTCAAACGGAGACTTTAATCAAGGCGTGCAGTAAACATTTAACAGGTCCATATGCACTGCCTCCTAAATCCTAACTTACAAGAGCCTCCAACTCTGTTAGTACAACCCGTCTGTCCCGGAGTGTTTTACAGAGCCTTTGAGCTTTGTTACCCTCAAGCTAAAGACCTCGTGCAAGTTCATTTCCCTTCTGTCTCCTTCCTCCGTTACCTTTTCACCCCCTGAGCTCACTGTGCCTGTCCCACGGGACGTGCAAGGTCCTTCTTTCACGGACCCTCCACTTTTCCCATCTTGGAACTGGCACCTTCATTTTCTTCACCACCCTTCAAGTCCATCCTCAATGTGCACTTCTCCAAACACCCGCAGGCTGTTCGTGCTTGGGAAATGCTCACTGTGAGGGTGCCTCTCGACTTTGCCCTTTGTCCCTGTGCGCAGCCCATGCAGAGAAAGCCCTTCGTGGGTTTTGGTGGTTACAAGCTTCCTGGAGCCCATCTTGTCACTGAGAGCTTTACAGGATCAAAAGACACCTAGGGATGCTTTCTCAAGGGTCAAAAAAACCTTACTTTTGTGAGGCTGGGCTGAGAGAGCAGGCCTGTCCTTATGATCACATTTGGGTACCTTCGGTCACAAGATTTCATCAAGCAGGTTAAAAACACACCTCCCGCCCCACGCCAGACAGAGGGCACTTTGTATCCCCTTGGCACGGCACCCAACAAGGGAGAAAATGAGCCAAATCGCTTGGGGCCGTGCCACTGCTGAGGCTGCAGCCATAAAACAATGATAAAGTATGCTGGACAAAGAAGCACGAGGGACAGGGAGCTTTTCGGGAGGCCCTGGCGCTGCCTGAAGGAGCCTGTGAAGCAGCATTGTGCAGGCACACAAGAGGGGATCACGTGCGCACAGGCAGGAGCCAAAACCCACGTGAAGACAATACTTGCCTGTTGTCTCTCCCGAGCCACCTCCCCTGCCAGTGACGGTGACAACAATATTGCCTTTCTTGCCCGAAGTGCCCCCGTTGCTTTCACTGGTCACCGGATAAAGGCACCGCTGCTGACCTGCCCCGGTAAAACCCCAGGACACAGAAGGCAACCAAGGGAGTTGTTCCCCCTGCTGTCCCCCCAAGATCTGGATGGCAGATCTCCTTCCCAAAGGGGACAGACACACACATCCTTCCCTGGGTGTGCAGTCCAGACACTGCTGGGCCACAGCTTGGACCTGTTAAAGGTGCCCGCGTCCCATGGATTTGATGCAGCCAAACAGACTCAACAAGAATTTAAGTTCTGGCTAGAAACTAAGCCTAAAATTTGAGGAACGTGGGCAGAAGGCAAACATCTGGGAGAGGAGAGAAAACAAGAGGCTGAAACTACTGGAAGCGTGCTTCCTATGTACAAAACACTAATCAGAAAACAATATGAACAGAAATTTAAGGTGGGAAGGTAAAATACATTAAAAATGGCCGTTTTGGCCTAACATGAATGTTCTTCTATTACATACGTCATGATAACCTGTAATTAAATGAACACACCATTTCCTTACAGAACGGTCCTTTGCTTCACACCCAACCAACCAGCAAAGTCTAGAGATGAACGGGGAAGAGAGATTTTTACAACCCCTCTTTCATTTTGTCTTAAAAAACTACCAACCAAACAAAAAAGCAACCAACCAAACAGCAAAAGCACCAGCCTTTTGCAATCATGAAACCAAAAGCTGTCACCATGCACACCCAAACAGGAGCAGAACAAAGGAGAACAAGGAAAAGTAATCCCACTTTGGCACTTCCTCGGGGCTGTCTCACATAGATCCTTTATTAAAAAGAGATTGGGCTGGAGAAGTAGCTGAGGAGAAATTCAGAAGCTCCATCACATGTGTGACAGCCACGAAGTGCTCTGCACTACTCAATAAGTAATATTTAGGCCAGAAGAAAACACAGATCTTCGAAACGGGGGGAGCAGACAGGTGATGGTACTCCAAAACCAATTGTACTTTAAGAA